TTATGAGAAATCATTTGTGTTTCTGTAAGATTATATTTGTAATCTGTATTTATTGTTTTATGTTGAACTGGAGACTAGTTGTTTGGATGCTATATATGAAAGCCAATAAAAAGTACATAGGATAGCCTATATTAAAGTAAACATATCACATACTGTACCGTATATGTGCTTTGAATTTGCCCATACCACAGTTTCTGGAATGCTATTCTTATTTTTCTCTGTATAAAGGACAATAATAGTTATATACAGTATAGGAACTAAAATGTATTTTTAAATTGCTTAGAAATGAAGATTCATCACACTAGTTGTTGCAAGTCATGTTAAAAAGTTTGAAACTTGTGTATGCTTTTTTTGTTCACATTATGTAAGCACACATTTAAAAAACAAAATTAGTATAATTTGTATGTCCCACTACACAGTGAAGCTATATACATTCACACTGCCTGTCTTACATAATTTATACCTGTGAAATATATAAACATTTACACTCAATTGCCAGTGTTTGTTTAATTATTTACATTTTCATTTTATTTTGTATGAGGGTTAGATTTTAATCACAGTAATTGTCAATGTAAATTACATGTTGTAAACCCCATAGTCTCTTAAAATAAATCAAAGTTCTTTTAAATGCTATGGAAATGTGTTTGGTAGGTTATTTTAAGTTGTTTTATGTTATTCTTTTTAACATATATTGCACTAAGAGATTTAAAAATGCAACAAAAGTATAGGAACACATGGCACACATTTCATATTGCTTCTTGTAATATTTAAATTGAAATGTTAGGTCTTTAGCTTGCCACCATCTCACCTTCTCTGCTGTGGTAATGTAGTTATGCTTTTTACTTTTAGTTTTTGCTTTGTTTCCAGATTGAGACCCATATTTGTCACCTGAAACAAAAAATTATTTTAACTGTTACATTGCTGCATTTTTATAAAATCATGAAATCACCTTAATTTTTTCACAGTTAAATGATGAGAATAATGAAAGCACCAGGCAAGTCTGGGTTATTTGAGAGATGATGGTTGTTTGAACGCAGAGAGTGAAAACAGGAAATGTCTGCCTTTCCTTGGAGGTGGAAGTCTGCATTTGAAGTATTTTTGGCAGTGATCTTATCCATGAAATCCTGTTTTTCTTTTCTTTGCTGAACCTTTTCAAGATTGGGAGAATCTGAAACACAAGATAAACACATGAAAACATTTTTTGTCTAATGTACTGCGTGATAATAAATTGGGCAGCAAAATTCAATACTCTAATGGACATTTTTCTGTCAGCAAGACAAAATCGTATACATGAAAATGAAAAAAAGTAAAATCTTTATGTAATGTACTGTAGTAAAAAAAATACTGATTAAAGATATAACAGGAAATAATTTTCAGGCCAAGACCACAGACTTCATCTTTAGTTAATGCTGCTGTTTTCTTGGAAATCGGTTGGAAATGTTTTCCTCTGCCTTATCGCTTTGTCATCTTGATGAAGATTCCTGAAATAACAAGGTCATCTACAGACCTGCTGAGATCTGCTATTTTTTATGTTTTTCCTGAGCTAAAACTCAACATTGCCATTTGACCTATATTTAGGTAAACACTACAGTACAATTTCATTATCAAGCATTGTGTTCCCTATCCTACAGCTCTCCAATCCTGAAGAATATTTAGATATCTTTAACAAATGAAGAAATTATTCATATTCAAGACAATCTTGGAACAAATTCAGTCATTCAAGTGACATTAAAATAAAGCCAGAGACATGAAATAAAACCAGACCTTATTTTGCCCTTTGTAGGGCTTTCTTGATTAATCCAGATGATCAGTGAGTGATTGGGCAATGCCTTCTGTATGTTTATACTAGTGTTGCTTACTAAAGTGGAGTTACTGTACAAATTCCTTTTAACCACACATTGCTATTTTCAATTCCAGTTCCTTATTCCAGTTCTTCCTCTGTTTCTATTATGTTTTCTGCATATTTCAACTTAAATTCAGTGATGCATAAAGCAGATATATACAGTAGTGCCCTCCAAATGGTTTTGGGAAGCATTGTTTTACCCTTATTGCCAAGTGATGTGATCATGAGACTATGATGAATAAGTACAATTTAATATGCATCTCATTTTTATGCAACTGCATATTTTAACAAAAACATTTTTGTTATTCTGGTGACTTCAAGGAACCATAAGTATTGGAACACATTTACTTTACTGTACCTTACAAGTATAAAAGTCAGCAATGGACTGCATATCCCTTTAAGCCACTTAGAATGTAAAACGCAGCTCTGTTGGATTTAAATCAGTTGGAGTTAAATCAGATTCTCCTGATAAACTGCTTAGTTATACATTGGTCATATGTTTTCAGTTATTGCTTCCTGCATGGTGAATTAGCAAGCATTTTCTTTTACATAAGCAGGCAAGATGATTCTGTAAACATCAGAATTAATTCTGTTGCTGCTATTATAGTTTAATTAGTTACATCATCAATAAAGATGAGTTCCAGAGGTGGTTATACATGTTGAGTCCATGATATTAACTCCATTATGCTTCTCAGATGGGCACATGATATTTGGAGCAACTTCATTTTCCTTCTTCGCAATCTTGGTCTGATTCGTCTATAACAAATTCTCTTGGCTTATCATTCTACTTCCAAGCAAATTTCTAATCTAGCGTTTTTTTGTTGTTCTTGGTGCAAAATCTCTTCTGGGTTTAATATCTCACAGTGTAACCTTTGTAATTCTGCTGCCTCGGTCTTGTAAATGTAGATTTTTGTATTGTCATTCCTGTACTCTGGAGGTTGTTGACAATTCCAGTGGCAATGTTTTAGTATTCCTGACAGCTTTAAATGTTTCCATTCCATTAACTGCAATGTTTTTCTTGGCCATTCCAGTCTGGTCTGATTGGTACTGTATTTATACTTGTGATTTTTAGCTTCTTGAGTACATTCCAAATTGTTTATTTTGGATGCCTTGTTTGTGTGTTATAGTTCTGATTGCATTTTCTTTTCTTTCAGATTTACTGTTGCCTACTTTTTATTACAAATATTTTTGGTTCAGGGTGGCATGGTGGCACAGTGGTTAGCATTGCTGCGTTGTAGTACTGGGGCCCCAGCTTAATTGTGGACTTGGGGTGCTCTCAGCGTAGAATTTGTATGTTCTCCCTGTGCTAACACGAGTTTCCTCCAGGTTCTCCAGTTTCCTCCCACAGTCCCAAAATATACAGGCAGGTTAATTGGCTTCTGGGAAAATTGGCCCTGGTCGTGTCTGTGTCAACACTCATGGATGCATCAGCTCTTGCCTGCCCTGTGATGGACTGAGTGTACCCTGCCTTGCACCTGTTGCTTGGATAGCAGGATAGGTTTCAGCTCCCATACAACCCTAATTGGAAGAAGATTAGAAAATGGATGGATGGGTGTTTGGTTCATAGTGAAAATCCTAGTTTAGAAGCCACAGTTTGTTTGGCAGGCACTGTAGAAAGAAGTACTGAAATATAATTTCACTTATATAAAGACAAATATAGTCTCTTTTTTTCTTTTTTTAGAAATCTGAACTCAAAAGTCTTAAAGGATATGTACACAATTTTTCTGCTGCACTTAAAACAGGGTTTCTGATTCACTGGATGTGAAGGGCTAATATAAGGAAGTGTAGCACCAGGCTACATTCGAACACTTTTTACATTGGAAGGCCAGTGGAGGTGGCTCAGCAGATCATCATTCAAGCAATTGTGAGAGAAGGCTATGCTCTTAGAGCATCCTGTGGCCTTTCAAGATGATATGCATAACAAGCTTTTGAGAGTCAATACTTACAGTATGGCTGCCTTTTTAGAATGAGCTTTATAAGTGATTTTTAGAACTGAGATCTAGGTTCTCTGTACATTTTTTAACAAAAGCAGTTCAATCAGAATAAAGTAGTGCGGTAAGAAAAAATTCTTACTGCAAGCAATTTGGCATGCATGGAAAAATCTCTTGCAAAACCAAGATCATTTCTCTTGGCCATGAGATGCTTGTGTAACACTCATGGATGCATCAACTCTTTCTTCATATTATGCTAAAAACCATTTAAATTGAAATGTTATGTTAAAATTGCAGTTTCAGCAGTTCTTCTAATTCTCCCATTTCAGCAAAAATTAACTTTTACTTTCTCATCAATTAAAAAAGAATAGGTGGAAATGTCTCTCAACATTCACATGCAATAAATGGCGATGAAGCTTTTTTATCTAGGTGGAAGAGAAGGGCAGAGTAGTTCTACACTCCCTCATTGTTACTATTTGACCCTGGAAGTCACAAGATGTTTGTCTCCATTGGAAGATCAGTATTTAAGACTTGCTAAGAAATATTTGTATTTCTCCATTTTTCAGTTCTTATTTTACTTCTGACAGATTACATATTACTATACGTTCAATTTTGAAAATAGCTGTAAAGAAGACTATCTCAAAATTCTTATTTTGTAAATTTTACTTTATAAAGACACATTTTAAAACTTTTCTATTATGCTTAATTTTATTAAAAGTAAATATATTCTCACACCTATGCTCATTAAGAGCATTTTTGTTTTGTTTTGTGGTTCTATATCAAATCATCTTTATTGATCAAACTAAATCATCCACATCTAAAATAGACTGAAGGAGAAATGTGTATTGAAGAGGAAAGATGGCAAGTCTAACAAGAGTTAGACAAAGTATCCAAGTAGAATATCAATTTATCATAAATTAGCATTAAATATACTGTAGTATTAAAATTAAAAATTGTCATTTTAAAAATGACTTTATTGGTTTTATAAATATATACATAATGTGATCATATGTAAATATAAAAATCAGTTTATTATGCATTCATATCCTGGTATGAAAAATAATAGTTAAGATTACTGAATTCAAAAAAATTGGTAGACAGCAAGCTATACTTATTTTTTAACAGATCCTTTGTTCTTTAATGGTGCTGAATTTTGCAATCTTATCGGCTGACAGGCAAGGATTTCCGCCTAATGCTTTGAGCTGATATAAAAGAGGAAATCGGTAGACTTTCCTGTTTGGAAAAGATTTTTCTACTCTTTTCTCTGTTGAAACATGCATTCAGTTATTTCACCTTGCAGTAACTCAGATAAGTTGGAATGTGTTTAAACTAGATTTACTTCTTAAAAATAAAAGGTGGAATGTGAAATACACAATATATTTTCTACAGCTTAGTTCCTGTTTATGTCTCTCAGGAAATTTTGAGGGAAATTTCTCTGATGCACTCTGGGCAATCACTGTATGCTTACTGGATACATAATGCATTTTTTTCTTATTTTAGGTTTAATGGTTTCATCTAATGCACAAAACAATGAGGTAAGGCAATTTATTTTTTCATTTAGAAATTTTCAAACCGTGTCACCTTCTTTGTGAAATTTAAAATTGTTTTGTTTTACTGTATAGTTTTTATATGACAATAAATGCTTCTGTGCATTTCCATTTAAGTTAAACCTGTAAATATCAATTATAAACTAAAAGAAAAGCAATTTTGAACTTTTCCTCTTCTTGTTACTTGGCTTTAATAAAATAAAACATTAGGTTTAAATATGCAGTTCCTCACTCTGGTTATGGGAGGTTTTCCCCATTGCATAAGACATCAACAGCTTAGTACCACAGAGATGATGAGCAGTTTACCTCGGGGGTTTATAACTTCCAAAGACAAAAAACACCTGTTGGATTTTGTATCTTAAAACCAGAGATGGGAACTCCTGATTTTAAATTTATAAAATTATTTTAAATGCTGATTTGAATGTTGTCATTGAAGACCATAGCAGAAGATTCTTAAAAGTAATTTTGAGCAACACGCAAGAATGGAAAGAGATTGTAGATATTTTTCAGTTCACCACATTTATTTAGAACCCTGTGCACTGTGGTAAAAAAAAAGCTCATTTTTTAAAGACAACACCAAATCGCTGTGATGTGGTCAGTACTGTCCAGTTCATGACTCCTTGCACATCCTGTGCTGCATCACCAACTGTGCTGTGTCCCAGAGGCTCACGCAAAACAACAAAGAACATTGGAATCAGAGACTGCAGGTAAAACTTGGTGTTAATTCTCAAGCAGTACTGACAAACCTAAGAAAAAAGTGGATATGACTTTAGAGCTGGTAAACACATTGGATAGAAGGCATACAGTATATTTGGAACAAGTAATAGGTTTATTCCATGCTGAAAAGAGACAAAATACAGTATATTTTACATGCAGACATTGTTGGTCCTCCTTAGCAGCTGATCATATGTGAAATACACTTTTAGATTAGCATGCCGATTGACTAGAATGTTTTTAAGATGACAAAGTAAATTATGACAATATATGATATTGCGACCTAGGTCAGGGTTTTATAGTTCTAGTACACAGACCTTGTAATTTTGTACTGCCAATTATTATACCTACCCAATCTGAAATAGCGGCTGTGTTTTTCACACTATGGGCTCGCACCTATGAACCTCACAACTGCAGGCAGGGTAGAGCAAGGAATTGCAGGCAGACTTCTCCAACCAGCCCACCTTCTAGGCACATGTCATAGGTAGCACAGCTCTGTAACGCAGGATCAGATTGGATGATTGGCATGTCCTTCACCAGCAGCACTGAATGCTTGCAAGCACATGGGAGGCTACATGGGATTCTATTATGGCAGATTAATCCCACTTTTCCCTGAATTGCACTTGCAAAATACTGATTAAAGCTTGAACTGGATCATAGAGCTCAAAGTACTCAGAGGAGTCTCTTCAGCACATCGGGCTTCTAAAATCCACACCCTGGTCTAAAGAAGATGAAAATTGAAAGAAACACATGAAACCAACAGATTTTTAGGTGCACTGCTGTTTGCGGCCATGCTCTTTCCCCCTTCTGTATTCCAGTTATTCCATAGAACAGGCAGGCAAGAGCATTACCCTGCCTGGGTGCAGACACTCCTGTGAGAAGACTATTACTGAGCACAGGTGTTGTCCAGATTACTGGGGTCCTGACTGTCTACGTAAGTCATTAATTGCTTTTGTATAAAAGTTTTTCTCACAAGCATTATATATTTTGTAACCCCCGCCGCTCATCAATTTCTTACAGCTTTTCCCTTCTGGCATTAATGGATCTGATAAAATATCTGTAGGAGTTAAAGTTTTGCTGTAGTTCTGGTAGGGAGAATGAAAGTGGTTTGAGTTATGCAACCATAAAAAGGATGGTTTGGAACTGGGCTTTTGCAATGGTTATATTTTCATTTGTTGAAATTTCTGGGACCACCTTTACCCCGGTGTCTAAGAATTACTGACATTTAAACAAGCTATAGCAGTTTTTCACCTGCGTTTTTTCTGTTTATCTTGTTTTGTCAGCATGCCCCAGCTGGTCAGGCAGAACATGTAATTGGCATGGCACCTGCATGGATGGAGCCACAGGCAATGGAGCATGCAAGTGTGAGGTAATAAGAACATGAGAATGGGTATAGACTAGACAGGGCATTCAGTTCATTCATCCTGTTTAGTAGTTATTAGCTATTTCATTCAATGTACAGTAGCTGTATCTTGACAGATGCCGGGGTATCTTTAACAGCATGTCTGGGTAGTTTGTTCCATACCCCCATTTCTCTTTGCCTAAAGAAATGCCTCCTTTTATTAGTTCTAAATGCACTAAAAGCAATTTCAAACTTTTTCTTTATTTTGTGTTTTGGATCGACTGGTGTGACCACTTGAATCAGGTCTTCCCTGTTCAATACTAAAAAGGCTCAGTTCCTTCAGCCATTGCCTTAAGTTTCATAATGTATCTGGGCTGATTCCACAGCAGCAATATCTTTTCAATAATGTGAAGAAAACTGTAAAAATTATTTTCAATAAGGTGCTACAAGTGCATTGCACATTTTTAATTTAAAAACACTTGATGTTATTGATTTAAAGTACTGTACATCTTTTATCTATATATCCTAATATTTTTTTTGTCTTTTAATTGCTTCCCCACATTTTTAGCAGATGATGGTCACACATAAACATCTAAGTCTCAGTATTCCCATTTTTATTGATTGTTTATGCTTTATTGTTACCAGCATGTACAGTAGATTTCTGCACATTTACATTCTAAAGCATCTGCCAGCTGTTTGCCCAGTACTGAATCTCATTTATTTCTTTACAATGTTTGCTAATCATCTCATTTTGATATTGTCAATTTCACTGGGTTCCTAACTGTACCTAAATCTGAATTAATTTTAATCAATATAAATTAGGATGAGCAGTAAGACAACAGTTCTAATACAGATGCCCATAGTATCCTACAAATTACTATGATACCATTTGAGAATTCACCCCATATCTGTACTCACTATTTTCTGTTAACCAGTTCTCAGTCAAAAACTATTTCCCTGAAAGCTTAATGCCTGTAAATTGAGAATTATTGTTTTATGAGGAAGTTTGTCAAAAACGTTCTGAAAAGGTCAGCACTGCATACTTTTTGTGTGTCCACTACTGTTGTTGCTTATTTAGAAACAGTTAAATAAAACCTACATTTTTTTACATAACCAATCATATAACATGAGTAAGATTCATTGGTTTTAAATTACTTAGTTTAGTTTGTCACCCTCTTGTACGGATAGACTTTGCTTTAGTAATTTTTATCATGGCTACTTCTCTGGTCTTGAGTGCCTGTTGGAAGAGTTGACCTATGAATAGCATTTGTTAATCTTAAGTGCTAGTAATACCCAAAACACAGTGGCCTATTCTATGCAATTACTGTTTAATACTGAACTTTGTCCTTCCTCTGCCCAGGGCATGGTGTTTGACGCCTTCCTTGTTAAAACACCTGAATGAAATACTTAGATAATCAGCTATTTTCCTTTCATTGTCTTTTGTTTCCTGTTATTAACCCAGATAAATGTTAGTTCATCCTTTACTGTTCTTTTGCTGTTTTAGTACTGAAAAAAAATAATTTTAGCATCCATTACAATATTATTTTTCTTGGCCTCTCTAATATGCTTTTTAACTTACAATTCATTATGTTCATTTTTTTAACTGAAGCCTGTTACTTTTTAATTATTTCAAAAAATTCTTTATTCGTATATTTTTCAAATCAATTTGCTGCTGCTTTGTAGCTATTTTTTGTTAGATGATATCAGAGCAGTTTCTTACTCATGAGATACATCAGTTTTGTAATTGAATTATTACAAAAAATGTAATTGTCTTTTATCGTACATTTTATTACATTTGCATAATTTTACAGTACATGATTTACAAAAATTACAAAATACAGTCAGAATTGTGAAACTGGTAAACCAACATTATTATTTGGATTCTTTGGTTCTTTGGATGTATGTAGTTAATACTGTGTTGTATTTGAGGAGTCATAAATGTTTAGCTATGCAACAGATGAAAACCCAAAACTGGAGAGTTTTTCATTGTAATTAAGAATGCAAAGTACATTTTTCTCTATATATACTTTGCACAGACCTGATTTTCCTAAGAATTCAGAATAAACTTGTGGCAGAAAACCACACAGAATCAGAAAAGTAAAATATGTTTAGGATGTTAAAGGTAACTAACCGTTCATCATCTTTTCAGCCTGCTCTTTTTCAATTTCCTTGTTTATTTAGGATGGATTCTCTGGCATTGCATGTCAAGAGTGTAAGAATAAAAATACTTATGGAGAGTATTGTAATTCAGGTGAGTTAATATGATTTTTAATTTGAAATTTCTAACGGTGAGATCCATAACCATAATTAAAACACTCTAGATATTCTTTTCCTCCTTATTAAAATCTGAAGCAAATAAAGCTGAATAAAAAGGTAATATTAACTTAGTGTGAGTGCTACTGTTCAATTATCCATGAACTCACAATAGCTTTGCTGCTCCTCTGCAGAATGTGACTGTGGCGGTATGATGTGTGACACTGGCCCCAGTGGAACAGGAATGTGCTTTTGTCAGGCTTCAATCAGTGGACCAAACTGCAAACAAGGTAACCCAAAGACTTATTCTTTTTTATATCCTCTTTCTACTCTTGTTATTGTGATGACAGGATAAGGATATTAAAAAATGTTATACAGTATGTACAGTACTTTAACTTTCATTGTTCATTGTAATTAATTTTTAACATAAACTTATCAGTTTGCACATAATATCATTTGTATTTTACTAACATTTATATTGTGCTTTCCAACATATTGTTCTTTCCTCTAGAGAATCCAGCCTGTCTCCAGCTGAACTGTAACACCTACTCATTTTGTGTGGTACATGGATCTACAGTAGCCTGTGAATGTATTCCTGGCTTTGAGAAGGTTGGAAAGATATGCACAGGTGAACATAAATAAATGTTTCTATTATGATGATGATTATGGTGATTATTATTATTATTATTATTATTATTATTATTATTATTATTATGTTCTTATATTATTTTATTGCACCTTGCAAGTCAAAGAAAATGCAAAACCCAGAGGTAGCATCTTGATGTTTTCTGTTTTAAGTAAATGCTGCTCAGTGAATAAAAATGTGTTTGATTCTAGATAGGAATATTTGCTCGAAGAATGTCTGTGATCGGAATGCTGAGTGCATCTATCATGGACCACAGAAATATGATTGCATATGTAAAACTGGTTATGAAGGAGATGGCAAAGTTTGTATCCCTGTAAACCCTTGTGCCACGGACAATGGAGGGTGTCCTACCAACTCAACCAACTGTGTATTTATAGGCCCTGGCAAGGTAAACAATTTTACGTGCACAATATTTATGAAGCATTATGAAATGATTTCATGTGACTGCAATATTGGATTACTAACAGAATAATACTAGTATTTGTTAATTTTGTTATAATAATATTATAACAATTTCCAATATGAAAACTACATGCTTGGGTGTTTGGTATTACAACCATACATAAATAGTTCTGAAGCTGGCAAAACCTATTTGTTGGGTGATATCAGAGCAGTTTCCTGTAATTTAATTATCTGCATTGACAACACAATACTGAAGAAATATTTATCAGTCACCACAAACCAGTAATTGTCTGCCTACTGCTGTTTCAGTCTCGTTGTGCTTGTAAGAGCGGAATGGAAAGGTCAACACCAACTGCTGGCTGCACACTGAGGTCTGCATGCATTGAAAAATCCTGTCACAAAAGTGCAACGTGTGAAACCGGCCAGGATGGTACAGCCAGGTAATACTAAGGACTAGGAATAAACAGAGAGTATGTTATTTCTGACCAGGTTGAGAGACAGCAAAGAGAAACAAACCCTGACACTGGGCATCACAAGCAGGCCTGCCTGGAGAGGACAGGCTATGTTCCCACTGCCAACAGAGAGAAGCAAAGACAGAGATGCACTTTCAGCTGGACTGTGAAAAAAAGAGAGATTAGACAGACAATTGGCTAAAATAACAAATGTAATCACAAAATTCCTGCCAGAATCTGAACAGCTTCCAATCATACTAGGGGATGGGGGAGGAAATTAAATACAGCTGCAGCCTTTCACAACCTGGGAAACAGACAGCGAGCCAGTCTCATAATAATGTTTTATGTGATGCATGTACGTGTCCAGTAATACATGCTGAATAGAGAAGAAAAGAAACATTTCAAACTCTTGAACTACTGTCCAATAATATGTTTGTGCTGTAGACGTCTGTAAATATTGCACTAATTTTATCTGATTTGGCAACACTGTAATTCATTGGTAATGCCAGTGAAGGTTTATTGATTTGTATTTACATTTATAAGAATTGTACCTGGAATCCAAACTTTCATCATTTAAAAAAATAGATCCCTTGATTTGAATGATTTCTGCTTTCAACAAAAACTACATTGCAGGTTATTTTCCTAATTAAAAAGTGTTCAGTATGATATTCTTGATATCACGATTTCAGGATGATATTCATTATATCAAGGCCTTCAGTGTGAAGGCCTCCTTTGTTCAAATAAAATACATTTTAACCTTTTCATTTGAAGCTGTGTTTGTCAGAAGCACCAGATGGCTGATGGCTGGCGCTGCTATGGAGACATTATGGAAAGGATTCTGGAGCTGGATAGAGAGGGCGGACAGAAAGGGAGAATCACTGGGAGTATTCAGCTGTTTGGTATTTCTCTTTGTAAACCTGTTCTGTGTATTTTAGTGAAACAATAGTTTGTCTTTTGAATTTTTGGAAAGTGAGTATTAATAAGTTCCTCACATGTCACATACAAAAAAACAGAGACATCTAAATAGATTTCTAATAATGATTTTGTATTAAAAGTCAAAGTAAGAAGCTGATGTCTGTTATGTCTGTTTATGAAATTATTCTTTTAATACCAGTATAAAGTTGTTAACATTTATTTTAGGAATTCTTTTGGAATACAGTAACAGTGACAGTGACAAAAATGAGTGTAGGGCAATATGTTTTTGGTGGGGACTATATTGATTATGAGTATGATATAAGTATTGCTGGAAGTTTAATTAGGTCAAGACCAGATGTCTCTAGAATGCGAAAGGAGCTATATAACATACATAGTTACACCAGGGAATCTACAATTAATCTAAAATAACCCCCATCCTTAAGCTCTGCCTACATGCAAAACCAGAAATACACCAAACCCACATTTTTTAGTCCTGAGCCTTTATAGGCATTGGTCAGGAGGACTCACGGCAGCATAATTCAAGAAGAACTTCTAGGGCACATATTAATCAACTGGACATAGAAGAGGACACAAACATCAGAGGGGGAATCTACAAAGAGTGTCAGAGGAAGTCTAAGGCATCATCTGCCCCCACCCAATATTGCACTCAGAGAAAACAGGGTAGGGGGGGATTATTAGGGAAAATAGGTAGGGTAGTCTGGATGGCCACAACTGAAGAGAAAATTTTGGTGGAACCAAATTACAAGATGGAGTGTCATTGTTTCTTTTATTTGGCTGCAAGGGATAGGACACCAACCAGAGCTGTTTTTGGAGGATATCTCTGCTGCCAGGAATTGATTTTTGGGTGGGCTTGTGCAAAAGTGGGTGCCCCGGGCTCTAACTGACCATCCTGCCAGCATAGCGGCAACCCTCCAATTTACAATCCAATCCTCGAGTGGTATTATCAAACATCAGAATTAGCAGAGCCTTATACAGTATATTGTAACGCAACGGGGGTTCAGGTAGGCGCCCTTGCCACATTAGGTCAGCCCCGCACTGTCGGGGGCTTGAACCCAGGACTCCCGCATCACTCAACAGGGACCCAGCCTGGTGAGCCAAAGAGAGATCTCTCCACAGCCCAGTAGCTGTAGTCCTGCTATCACAGGGAAGGGCGGCAACATCACTACTCTGGTAAGCCGGCTCTTACACACCCTGATGGCCGTATGCGTTACAATATATACATACTGTCTCTCTCTTACACACACACAGGTTAAGCAACAATTACCTACGCTGCCGAATGCAACTATGCCAGGGCGAACACACAAAAAAACAATCAGTGACTACCTCTTATGTGAGATTTTGGCCTTCTAGAGCAGACACAGGCGTCGGGGCTTGGAATTGAATATGGCGATAATCTCGTCACTGTTTAGAGTCGGCAAATTTCCCGTTCAAATGACAGCTAGTTTGCAAAGGTGTCTCATATGAGGACTTTAGTTCAAGAAAACCTGCAAGATCTAATTTTCACTTGTTGCTTGTAACAGTTCTAAGTATTTCGTATGCCTGCTTTTAGATTGTTCAGTAGTTTTACGAGTTACTCTGAAATTAATATTTTATTGCAAAACACAATGAACACAACGCAAAACGCAAGATTCAAAATCCGTCTGAAATATTGTATTTACAATCCCATGAAGGGTTTACCTTGCCTTTAAATATTCAGCGGACTTTGCATAGCATACCAGAAGAACTATGGGTTTCGGAGGTTGGAATAAATTCCTCGCCCCAAGGGTAATATGGAGTGAGGCACCATGAGAAAAAAAACTGCAAAGGTATTAATATATTAAGTTCTGAAGATCTTGTTTGATCCTTCATGATGTTTTTAAACTTGTATGAAACCCACAAAATTAGTATTCTATTTTTGATGGCAAAAGATACCTCACTTGGAAATTCGTGACTTACTTCCCACAAGACTTGACACTGAATTAGTATAGTCGCATTACAGTGTTAACCAATTCATCATACCTTTCATTGCAAGAATGGTCTGCTAATAAAAGTGTCAAATACATACTTTGGATGTATTCTAGCTCTGTAAACGTCGTTTACTTAAAAATACTGCAGGGCATTTAGAGGCGATATGAATAGTTATCTGTAAAATGCACACTCGCATCTATCCGTCAATACTATCTTAATGTTATTCATGCATTCCAAAACTTGTAATTTGCTTACAGGAGAAATTTTAGAACCTCATCTTTCTTAACTCCTACAGGTTGAGCATGTATCGAGCTGCTACAAGCATACGCGTGCACTGCCCCTTGCGTTCCAGAAACACTTGTATTCAGGAAGCCAGGCTGTACTCCTTAAAACCCAAGATGCCTGTAACATCTCATGTGTCTTATTTGTTTCGGGACTGGTCTAATCATCTACACATGGCTTTTTGAAAAACGTAGATATATAGTATCCATTTGTTTTGCCATGTTGGCAAATAAACCAAAAACCTAGCCCTAGATAGCTCAAAGAGTGTCTGACGACAACGATAGCCAATTGGGCTATGGCTACGCATGCACCACCCCACTGCATTTACATAATTTTCTTATTGGTCACAAAAGATACAGTGAGCGAATAGCAAATCACAATGAAAAAATCAAATACGTAACATTAAAAAGCAGATCATGTAACGCAAACAAGGACAAAAAAATTTTAATTCCTTTGGACTGATTGGGTTGGCCTAGGATCAATCAGGGTGGGCTACGCCCCTGCTCTGCTGTATTTCCCATGCTGTGTCCTTCTTTGAGATTTTCATTTTGGGTTACTAGGGTCCATGGGGATTTTGTGTATTTCTGTGAGTGTGTGTCCCTTATGGATACTTTTTTGTATGTTCTTTTATGAATATATGTCAGATTGTAGTTGATAAAGGAATACAAATCCAATCATGTAGTATTACTGCCTATTACTGTCTCTGGAAGATAGAAAATAACCTGTTGTGGGTAAAAGGGTCCTCAGGACCTTCAAAGTGATAGGTTGCTAAAATCTACAAAGTTTATGCATTTTGAGGTAACTTTATACTAGCTTTTACAATACTATTTCATTCTCAACCTAAATTGCATTGCTTCTTTAGTTGGCATTTGATAAGCTAGTTATTGAAATGTATGTGAACATCTAAACAGTTGCTTAAAGTGTTTATATTTTATTTCAGAGAAGGGTTGTCCTCTGACCTTAAGTACACTGGGGCCATTCACAGTATTTGTTCCTACTTTGAAATCGCCATTGTCCGTAAGTCAAGTTTTAGTTGTGAACTTTGTGAAAGTACTGTATGGTCGCTATGTTGCCATGGGTGAGAGCTACAGTTTGAGCAAATTGTGATGTGAAGCAGCCCTTCCTGCTCACTAGTCACTGTAATGACTAATGAAATGCGATGTACAAGTGAATAAGTACATGTTGTACACCACAGAAATGTTCCAATGTGATCTGCATGCACAGTTAAATTGTATTTGTTGGCAAAACTGCCTCAAAGTTAATAGGAATATGTCTATTGGTTTAAAAGAGGTGTATTCAGAAGCCTGCATGTTTACAATGTAATAGGGCCACTTCACCTTACCAAAATTTGTATTGCCTCGTTCTGAATTGCAGACATTGACGGCAATATGGCGCTGCACATACCTGGAAATTTTGTCTATTTAGTGATGTTAATTGGAGGTTTTGCACATTGCTTTATACAGTACATTTTACTTTCATTGTGGTTTGAAATGCACTAATCCGTGTTGATTCTTTCTAAAACTGCAATATAAAAAATAGCATTCCAATTCCCCTTTAATAACTACAGGAAAGTAGGATATCAGTGTACCAAAGGAAAAACTAATCATGATGTTAAAGCATAATTGATCAATGTGAAATATCGAAAACGTTTAAACAGTGTGTCTGAGTTCGGTGAATATTTTGATGTTTTTTTTCTTATGCAGGGAGTCTTAGAAACAAGCCTGTGCAAACTGCATATTATAATTGGCCAGCATCTCTACAGAGACCTGCAGGACAAAACTTTTTGGACTCTTGGCGGTGAAGAAATTAGATTCAAAGCCAATAAGGTATAAACAGTTCTGACAATTTGTGTTCATCCAGTGTTCATACCATACATCCCTGTGTCATAAAGAGTCAAAAAGAAATAGGATGTTTTATGATATGCTTTTGGTTCAGCTTTAGCCTTCAGACAGATGGTCGAACATTTTCTGCATTTTCTGGTACAGTATGGATAGCATGGTAGACTCAATGATAGCAAGGTCTAGCTCCATCAGGAGGCCCAAACAATCTCACCACCACCATCATAGTTGATCGTTATGATTCCTCTAGTGAAAGGCAGTGTTTTATTTTCAACAAATATGACATTTAGCACTATGGCAAAACATCTCCACTTTTGACTCTGTTCAGAGCACGTAGTTCTAGAAGTCTTTGTTTTTCATTAAAGTGCTGTTTTGCAAACTTACGTCATGCAGCAGTGATCTTCTTGGAGAGCAGAGGTGTCTTACTGGATATTCTTTCATGAAACCCACTTATCTTACATGGCCTGATAGTGGCCACATGAATTCTCACATTTACTGTTGTTGAGAGAGGCCTGTAGATCCGTGAATGTAACCTTAGTGTTCTCTGAGACCTCTAGGCGCATTGTAAGGTCTATCTTGGAGAGAATTTGGTAGCAGGGCCACTCCTGGGTAGATTGGCAACTGTCTAGAATTTGCAGATTTTTTTTTTGATGGACTTCATACGGTGTGGAAATAGCTCGGCAAACTAATGTTCATTTGCAATCACTCCCCAAAGGCTATCACATTATTCATTATATAATTATACAATTTTGGATTTATTAAGTATCTATTACTTAATAATTGTCCTGTACGTTTGTCATGTCTTTGTCTTGTTTTGCTGTTCTCTCATAGAAATTTATCTTCAGAAGAGACCCAGACACCCAATATTCAATTATTCAGAGTGATGTTGCCGCAGCCAATGGTATTATCCACATTACTGATAAGCCTATAACAAACATTCATCCTAAATATTCTGAAAATTATGAGGTAAGGGCAATTTTACCTACTTGCTGTCAGATTTGTCTGCTCTCCATGTCGTAGTCAACCTGTGTTTGTTTCCACAGGATGCCAATAAAACCATTGGAGAAATTCTTGCAAAGGATCCAAAATACAACAGATTTCAGTCCTTGGTAGATGTAAGTCCTCAACCATGAGATGATCATATAGAATATGTTGTGAAAATAATACTGTCATCTGAAGTTCAATAGTTTTTACTGTCAATGTATTGGATGCCAATAACTTATACCTGTAACTCTACAGATACACATGACTTTGCAGATGTAATCATTGATAAATGTTCCAGTAATTCAGTGTAGTTAGTGCAGTGATTATCAAAACATTATATTTAACAAAACACATAAATGGAGCTTACGAATTACTTGTTTCCAGATACCCTTGGGAAATCAGTGTCTTCGATTGTACTGTAGTTACCTTGTATTTTGTAATCTGATTACACCTTAGATATTACTTTCAGGCAAACATGGACTATACCTGCCAAGCTCTATAGGGCATGATGAGTTGTAGTTCAAAGCAACTTTTCTAATGACAATGAGACTCTATACAAGATGCAGACAAATTCCACATGGTGTGCAAAACTGTCCGATCCAAAACATTTTATCTCTTGCCAGTACTGTTGTCATCCTGCAGAACATATTAGCCAGCTGGCATACAGCATTTTTCTTTCCTGACATAGTGTCTCTGTGAAAAAACTGCTTTAACTTTCATTTACATTTTACAAAATACATTTATGATCATTGCAATAAACTGGTGCACAGTGAACAAAGAACAGTGTATGACTTTTTAAATAGTGAACAGAAAGTTTTATTGATTGTATGGTACTGTAGTATTGGTCTAGTACTCATTAGTTATGTTTCAGGCTATCAGAATATATATTTATGCTGTACTGTATAGATGCAGACTGTTTCACAATTTAATTTGTTTTTTTTATCTTAACAAGTGGTAGCATGCACCATATCGGGTATTCAGAAATAATTTGTAGGGCTCTTAACTATAGGAAATATTATACTTCAGAATGACTTCAACAAAAGACATGACTTTATTGATGAGATACATTTCTGCCTGTTGTATTTACAGAACTGTGGCACATCTCTACCTTTGAAAAGCCCTGGATCTTTCACTGTCTTTGTGCCAACTAATGATGCAGTGGATCAATTTAGAGATGGCAGTTTAATATACATGCTTACTAATGTGAGTACGGCTTGGTACTTTTCAAGGTATTTGATGTACCCCCAAACACTAGAGCATGAAACAAAATCTCCTTTTATGTTTATACTGTTCTTCATGTAGTTCCTGTATGATGTCATCATTGTTTTTGTTTCTTTTTCTTCAAGGCAAAACACAAGCTTCAGGAACTTTTGAAACATCACATTTACTCATCTGCTGCGGTAATGAATTTTTACATTTAAGGATTTCTGTCATTTTGAAGATAAATAATTTTGTGTAGTTGTGTGATATTCAAATTACACGTAAAGATTACTGTTACTATTTAATATTATGACACCAATACAAAATATTAATATGACTAATAAGACTAGACCGAGTAGCAGTTGTAAAAAATCTTTTCATGAAAGATAACAGTACAAACACTTTACTGAAATTAATGCAATATATTATTTTCTTTTCCCTTTTCTAGGTTACAGTGGACCAGCTCTCAAGTATGTCTCAAATCCAAACCATGGCACATCAAGTGATCTTGGTTAATGTCACCAGTGATGTAAGTTGTTCATTTTGAAAGTCACTTTTTGATATTTTTACTACAAACCAGATTGGTTAGTGGGATTTGCATTTCAGCCATGAGCACACAGGAAGTACATTAGGGACTCTCTATGCAAATCAAATATTTTATTGTTTATAACCTTGCACATATAAATCTTGGTGCTTTACATTCTTCTCTGGGGTTCTGCAACCATAGATTCAGAGTTATGAAAGTGTTAAAAATAACAGTGGAGTCTCACAGAGATGAATAATGACGAGTGGAACACTGATTGCTTTTGGATTAAGTTTATTAAATGTCATTGTTCATGCCAGATAGTACCTAAACCAGAACAAGCTGAACAGTATTCTGATGACTAAAACTGTGGTACATTTGACATGAGGTAAACAAACACAAGTTGTGGCCTCAAAGCATTTCCTGAGAAGGTCACTAAATGATGAAGAATTATTGGTTTCTTCTTAAGGAAACTGTTGACCTAATTTAAGAAAGATTTTGACAGTTTTAAATAATTTCATAAATGTTCAGAAATAAAAACACTGACATTTCTTTCTGCATATGCACATTTATTTTTAGTTGACTATCAAGGAGTTATTATACACTAGGTACGTTGAAAATATTAAATATTGTACCCTCTAACTACATAGCATACATAATAATTCTGTTATTCTTTTCATTGTTTTTTCTTTGCTGTGTGCAGGGAAGACTCTTGTTGGGTGACAAAGGGGTAATGTTAGATACCCAGGATATAGTTGCCTCCAATGGAATAATTCATCTGATAAATGGAGTTTTTGTGCCTCCTTCCATTGTTCCAATCCTGCCACATAGATGTGATGTGAAGGAACACAAAATTACAGTGGTGTGTTGGGTTCTCATTTTATTGTTTAGTCCAGCTGTTTTTTTTTCAAGCCTGATGTTTACTTAAATATATTATCTACCTTCTGATATGTTTATACAGTATTTGCTAGTGACCTTATATTGATAGTATACTAACAAATAACTTACTAATAAAATAGCTTTTTCAGCATCTTTTGTAGAGTTTCAAAGTGAAGCAATTATTCTCATTCTCATAAATACAGTACCCTTGCTGTTTGCTCTGTGTAAAATATATTAAAATCTTAAACACATTAAATTATATTAAATTTCAGGGTCCATGTGTTAGCTGCAGTTATATTTCTTCAACTCAGTGCCCAAATGGAAGCATTGAACTGGTAAGATTATACTTCTAAACTGAATAAAATATTAAATATCCTTTTTTATTAATTTAATGCTTATTTAATTAGTTCAACCAGGGTGGCCAGTATCTGGATGGGAGGCCTCCTGGGAAAGATAAGGTTACTACTGGAAGAGGTGTTAGTGGGACGAATAGGGTTTACTCACCCTGAGGTCGGTGTGGGTCCTAATGCCCCAGTATACAGTAGTAATGCAGACACTGTAAAAAGGATGAGATGTAAAACCGAGGTCCTGTCTCTCTGTGATCAGGGGTGTTACCCCGGCGTGCTGGCCAAATTTCCCCCTGGCCTTTACCACTCTTTACCCTGGCCTCCTAATAGTACCATCTATGAATTGGCTTCATTACCGTGCTCTCATTCTCACTGATAGCTGATGTGTGGCGAGTGTACTCACACACTTTAGCTGCCATACCATCATCCAGGTGGGTGTTACACTTTGGTGGTGGAGGGGAGTCCCCCTTACCTATAAAGCACTTTGAGTAAAGCACTATATAAAGGTAAGTATTATTAAGATTAGTTTTATGCAAATACAGTGTGGCCTGTTTTTGCAACAATATTAACGTCACTTGGACACCACTGTTCAAAGGATTACAGTGATTTATTTAAGGAGAAATTTAGGCATATAATTTTCCAACTCCTCTGTCTGCTTAGCCAGTTGTGCTGTAGACATTATAAGTAACACTACCCAGTCTTCCACATGGTATAAAACGTCATTTCATATATTTCTGGCTGTTTGTGTTAATAATTGTTGTGTTGGTTATGTTATGTAATGGTTGTGACTACATATCTTTTAAATCTGCAGGATTATGTTGACTGTAACTATCAGTCTTCTCCTTTAAATACTGTTCTGAACAGGAAAGGATGTGCCAAATACTGTAACACAACTAGAATGGTGAGTTCTTGTTTTCCTAGGTTTTCTAAGTTCCCAAGGTCTTCACCTGGTGTTAATATTTCCTGAGATAATTTGAATTCTAATATGTCTTATCTCTATTTATTTCCTTCCTGACAAGATTTGACATAGTTGTAGTTTCCCCAGAAACTAAGAAGACACCATTTCACTGAAGCACTTGACTTGCAGAATTTAATGTATTCCACCAACTAATAGGGTACTTCATACCTACTGAGATGATTCAACCAGCTGAAAAAGTATACAGTATATACCCACCAAATGTCTGCCATTAATGAGGCTTATGTTACACTGTTTAATATAGGAAACACAGCAGAAGAAAGACAGTCGTAAAGTCTCCACAGCCAGCGTTGTTTCTTTTCTTCTTTTTTTCAGACTGGAATAAACCTTTACTAGTTATTATATACAGTATTGCTATGTTTATTAAAAGTCATATAGTAGGTCCATTATGCTAGATAGAACTTAAAGGTTTCAAAAGTGAAGAGGTGATCTGGCCATTCTTGTTTGTTCATTAGTTTAGTATCTAGTTGAATCTAAAATTTCACCTTGCCCCTTTTAAAGAACCCCAAAGATTGGGCCTCCAATACCTTGTGACAAATCTTGTTCCAGTTATCCACAACTCTGTGTAAAGAAGTGTTTCCTATTCTCTTTCACTCAAATTCACAAACACACATTCACACCTGGGTCAATTTTTCCAAAACCTGTTAATCTACCAGTCTTTGGACTGTGGGAGGAAACCAGAAAATCAGTGTGAACACGGGAAGAACATACTAACTCATACTAACGCAGATATACAGAAACCCAGTAATTGAACCCAGGGCCCCAGCACTGCCAGGCACAAGGTAGCACTGCAAAGCACCCTGCTCCCATTTCCTCTCTGGAGGAAATCATATAATAATAAAAACATGGAACTGTGAAAAACTGTTCTATATTTCTAAATACACAATGTTGGTATTTATTCATAACCTGTACATATATTGAAAATACATGCTGTAAATGTAATCGTCTGATGTTTTCAGGGTAGTTTCACTGAATAATTTCAGATATTCATAACCTGGTTATTTTGTTTATTCATAATTGGAATAATTTGGTTATTATTTGGTTATTCATAATTGGAATTGGTTATTCATAACCGATATATTCATAACCTGTACATATATTGAAAATGCATACTGTAAGTGTAATCGTTTTACATGTTTTTTAGTCTTCGGGTAGTTTCACTGAATATTTTCAGAATAAGCTCATGAACTCGGTGCCCTTTATGGAAGCTTATTAGAAAATAAATATATTTTACAGGATAACTGCGTTAAAACATTAAACGGAATACACTGAACAGTAACAGTAAACCAACAGTATGTATAAGTCTTACTTAAGTCATAGAAAATGTATTGCGTTCAATGTTTAAAGAGTAGACAAAAATCTATGGCACCTTTCTCTAGTTTCACATCAAGAATAATGTACAGTACGTTTGGAAAGCATTTCTACTTTTCACATAAACGGCTGAAACTACATGTATTTAACCTGCAAATGCTCACTATCACTGTGTTGTACTGTACATATACTAAAGACAGTAGTGCATGAGCTTTTTCTTACAAAAAGAGGAGTGTGTCAATATTCTTCTGTTGTTAAAATCAGTGCCACTTTGCATTTGACAATATTATTGAATATACAATGCAAGATATTATCATACAATAGGCAATTTTGTTAAAAAATTATCGAGTTTTAACGCAAAGTTATCTTGTATAAACTCAATAAGTTTCTTGTTTAAATACTATTTAACATAGCTTTCAACAGAGTTCCAGGGAAATTAAAAAAGAAAAGAGGTCACTCAAGTAATTGGCTTGTTTGCTTTATGCAACTAAATTAATTTAGTTTTTTGATAGCAAGGGTTTTGAATACAGTACTTATACAATCATGATTTTTCAATTTTATTTCATATTAATTATTAACATTAATATTTCATATTAAATTATATTTTTTGTTTTTGATTAGAATATGTGTGGAGGTTGTGTATATAACAAATATTAAATGCTTCTTCAACCTGTCACGACTGCAAGCTTTAAAGTAACAAATTCTGAAAACTGCAAGGGTTTGAATATTTTGCTAGGTACTATAGCCTTGCTGTCATCTCAGTTATAGCTTTCTGTCACTTAAATTATAATTACTTAACTTAGTTTAAACATATAGCAAACTAGGTGACAACTTGTTTAATTTTTCACTTGCAGAGACAAGAATGCTGTAAAGGGTTTTACGGTCCTGAATGTAAGCCTTGTTTAGGAGGATTTCAGAACCCCTGCTATGATCATGGGACTGTAAGTATGTTTCTAAAACCAGGTAAAACTTATTTTCTTCAGCACAGATCTGCAAAGTATTGATCAAGGCCAAACATGGGTTTGGGGAAGCTAAAACCCATCAAAGCTTTAAAAATAATTTGTAATTGTAGCAAATATTGTAAATATTAATAACTGTGGAATATATCTAAACCCAATGTAGCTTGCTGGGACAGCTAGTGATTCTGTTTATTACTTGCTGTGACAGGATAGATCTTCACGGAAGAAATACCTCAATTTTCTTCTTCCTTCAACAGGGTCATGGCCAAGTATTGCACAGTATGAACAACATAAACTGTAGTTACCATTTTTATATCAGGAGCTGGAGTTTGTTATTAGTGCCATGTTACCAGAATCAGTGCCATAAAGTGACTTTCTATGCATTTTAAAGTTTAGTTACAAAGGCAATCCATCTTCTTTTAAATGAATTGTTTACAGTCAAGTGATGATTACCATGCCCTGACTTGCTATTGTAAGAAAAATGTTGTTCTCTTGCTTTTGCAGTGCAATGACGGGATTGAAGGGAATGGAACATGTAACTGTGCACCAGGCTTTAAGGGCATTGCCTGTCATATATGTTCAGACCCAAACAAACATGGAGAAATGTGCGATGAAGGTGTGTAAGAAATTAAAAAATACTTTTATTGTGACATAAATTCTTTTTGTGACCATTCCTGTTTCTCTGCCTGCCAGATTGCCAGTGCCTGCATGGTGTGTGTGACAACAGGCCAGGCAGCCAAGGAGTGTGCAGGGCAGGGTCATGTAAGGAGGGATATACAGGAGACTTCTGTGAGAAGACTTCAAAGCCCTGTGGCCCTGTGGGCTTGCTGGAATACTGTCACATTCATGCTTACTGTAGCTACACTGGAGACAGCACAAAGTGAATATTATCTCTTTCTTTATCTATTTACATACTTATACAGTATATACAATATTTGTTTGATAGATTACTTGCTTCATATACACTATTTGTATATGTAAAGAGAGAGAATATTAATTCTTCAAAGTTAAAATATGTTAAAGCTTATTCTTTTTTTTCTGAGGACAGTTTTTAAAAAAATGTGCTTAAATGAGAATGAAACAGCACAATACATTAGATAACAGTATATTAAATTCACAAATGATAATTACATTAATCAACCAGAAATGGCCTGAGTGCTATTACATCATGAATTAATGAAATGAGAAGAGCTCTAAATAGATTAGTATATCTTGATCTGTCTCTCCTGCAGGTGTGTTTGCATGTCAGGGTATGAGGGAGATGGACATTCCTGCCTGCCCATTAATCCTTGTAAGAAACCCAATAGAGGTGGATGTTCAGCTAATGTAAGTCATACATTTATTGGCAAGGTGTTTATGCCATTGTTATTTGCTCTTCATGTTTTTGAGATTTGTGGTTTCAAATAATTCAAATCAGTTCTAGCATCAATGCTTCATTGTGAGTAGAGGTTTGCTCTAAGGAGTTATTTAAGGACTTATAATCAAATTTCTACTAAGGATCAAAGAAGCATAAAACTCTATTCACTATTGCTCTTAATTTATCAATAACACTGTATTGGACAGAAATAATGTTTTTCAATGGAAAATGCTGAAGTATATTAAATACATATTACTGAAGAATATTGAATTTACATTTTAATGATATCACTGTCTTTGCTTTAAGGCAAATTGTGTCTATGTGGGCCCAGGAAATGCCTCTTGTGTGTGTAATGAAGGCTGGTCAGGAGATGGACATGTGTGCGCAGAGATTAATAACTGCCTGCTGGAGAGCAGGGGTGGCTGCCATAGCAATGCAGATTGCACTTACTTAGGCCCAGGACAGGTATTCTCCCCTTCCTTTTACAGAAAAACTATAAACTTTGTAAATTTAAATTTGCTAGGCTTTTCAATACATTCAGATATCAATAATGCACTTATGAAGACATTTATTTTGCATTTAGCTTTATAAAAGCATATTCATTGCAGTTGAGAAATAACCTGTATTTTCACCAACTAACTTACCTCATACTGTTCTACATCTATTTTTTAGAGTGAGTGTGTTTGTAAGAAAGGCTACATGGGAGATGGTACGACATGTGATCTTATAAATCCTTGTTTGTCTGACAATGGAGGCTGCCATTCATTGGTTTGTATAACTATTTTGACTATTTGCTTAAGTGCACATGCAAGGAAAAGTTTTAAATGGTTTCTTTTATATGCAAAATTATTTTTCCTTTGAAGTCAGAAGATGTATTTTCTAAAATCCATAGACTAATAATAATAATAATAATAATAATTGCTTACACTTATATAGCGCTTTTCTGGACACTCCACTCAAAGCGCTTTACAGGTAATGGGGACTCCCCTCCACCACCACCAATGTGCAGCATCCACCTGGATGAATAAAAAACTATTATTAAAATCATGTGCCACTGATGGGGTAAGAATGAAAATAAAATGGAATGTTTTCCTTTTCTGACATGTTTAGTTATTTGCATTTTATTACTGCACAGGCCAAGTGTAAGCCTTTGGAAGATGGTGGACGTGAATGTGTCTGCCCTCAGGACTATGGGGGGAATGGAGAAATATGCTATGGCAACATCTTAATAGTAAGAAAATTACATCATGAAATATTCTAATATTTTAGATAGAGAAGAAAGAAAACTTCAGCACAATGCTTTCATATACTGTAAATGTCTGAAAAATAATAGTGGTATAGTGCTTTTCATTCTTCAATACTACATAACCATATAAAGTATGTACAATTTTTGTCCTCGTTGTTTTAACAAGTTGTTCTTGTATAAGATAATGTATGTTTAGAAATGTGTTTTTTGTCATTTATTTAGGAGCTGGAAGGCAATTCAGATTTTTCCAGCTTTCACCAATGGATCAAGGTGTGTATTTATAATTTCCCTGCATCTCTGAAAGGCAGCAGCATTGTGGTAAGTGCTGCTGCCTCACAGTTCTTAGATCCTCAGTTCAATTCTAGCCTGGGCACATGGTTCTCTCCATGCCCATATTGCTTTTCTTCCACACACTCTCCAAAGATGTGCTATTGAGATTAATTGGCCTCTCCTAATCATCTCCAACACATACAGTATTTGAAGGTAAAGTTGTGTGTACCCTCCCATTGACTGTCCCATACAGGGTATATCCTGCCCTGTGCCAGTTGTCTGTTTGGTTAATATGTGCTTCACTGTGACCCTGTACTGAACTAAACTACTGTAAGTGTTTACTGGAAATGGATGGAGACACATTACAGCTGTACAGTATATTTTTTTAACTATTGAATCCTTTTCTTTCATTGGATTTAGAATGCAAAAATGATTGAGACATTCAGACCTAATGTAACTTCAGTAAATGTTTTTATTGTTTTTCATTGTATTATTGTATTGTCATTATACTCATATACAGGTATATGGTATACTGAAATGCTATTTAGCTAGCTCTCAGACGTTAAGTAGTAGAAAAAAAGACAACAGGTAATGTGCAAAACAACATTAGATGTGAAAAAAACATACATTAACAGAATTAAATAAAGGATAGAGAATTATGGGGAGTGAGCTTCTTGACATGTAAGGTAGAGGTAGATTTCAATGTATGTTTGAGTTTTTGGTAAGAAAGAAGGCACTGTGTGCTCAGATCGTAGGTGAGAGAGGCTGGTAAAAGCTGTCTCTGAGTCTGGTAGTCCGGGCCCGAATGCTCCGGTACCGTTTTCCAGATGGTAGAGGGTCATACAGTCTGTAGCTGGGGTGTGTGGGGTCTTTGATGATGCTTAGAGCTTTCCTCAAGCACCGTATGTCATAAATGTCCTGTATGGATGGGAGGGCAACCCCAGTGATGGACTGGGCAGTTTTCACCACCAGCTGTAGGGCTTTGTGGTCAGCAGCACTGCAGTTGCCATACCACACTGTGATGCAACCTGTCAGTGTGCTTTCTCTAGTGTATCTATAAAAGTTAGTGAGGATCTGGGTATCTTAGCCTTCTTCAAACCGTCTTTGGAAGTAAAGGCGCTGTTGTGCTCTCTTGATCAGACAGGTGGCATTGAGAGATCATGTGAGATCCTTAGTGCTATGGACACCAAGGAATTTGAAGTTACTGACCCTTTCCACTTCAGTCCCTTTGATGTTGATAGGGGCATGTCCGTTTTGGAATTTGCTGAAATCAACGATCAGCTCCTTGGTTTTGCTGACATTGAGGGTGAGCTTGTCTTCACACCACGTTGTAAGGAGATTGACCTCCTCCCTGTAGGTCCTCTCATCATTGTCTGTGATCAGACCTACAACTGTGGTGTCATCGGCAAACTTGATGATGGAGTTGGTGTTGTGTTTGGCCTTACAGTCATGGGTGTAGAGGGAGTAGAGTAATGGACTAAGCACACACGCCTGAGGTCTGCCTGTCAGAAAGTCCTGAATCCAGTTGCAGAGGGTGGTGTCGAGACCCAGTGCACCGATTTTCTTGTCTAGTTTCTCTGGAATTATAGTGTTAAAAGCTGAGCTGTAGTCGATGAATAATAGTCTTGCGTATGTGTTCTTTTTATCCAGATGGGATAGGGCAGTGTGTATGGAAATGGAGATTGCGTCATCTGTGGATTTTTGTTGTATCTTTGAGCAGAAACTTTCCGATTTTGATCCTGGAAGCAATGTAACAGCTCTCGTTCCATCTGAAGATGCTATTAGAAGTTTAAATGAAGAGGACGTGCAGTTTTGGACAGACCCTTATTGGCTACAATATTTAATTAAGTAAGTGCTAGCAAAAAAAATTTAAGAATTTATTTAAGAATTTAAGTATTGTACAAATACATTTTGTACAAACTAATTATGTGACTAAAAGAGCACCATTATTGTAATTTCTTTTTTGCTAAGAGTATGGTTCTCTGTTCCTAGAGTACACTTTTTGGAAGGGGTATTTACCAGCGATGACCTAAAACTTCCAGCAAATAAGAATCTTTTGACACTCAACCCACACACAAAATGGGAAATAAAGAATAGAAGTGGGGTATGTTGTGCAATTTCTTGATGTTAATAGATGCCTCAGATTAAAAACCTCTATTACTGTAGATCATATGTGTGGCTCATAAGCCAGATATCTGTAATGTGAGAGAAATTATTTTTGTGCTTACTTTCTTACAAATATGAAGGCTTTCCTGTCATTAAAATGTACACATTGAGATATTATTATTTAATGATAACAAAGATGGATCAAGATATTAGTTTTAAAGAGATGTACTTTGCTTTTGCAGGAAGTAATGATACAGAATGCAAGTATTTTCATTGCTGACATTCCTGCAGTGAATGGAATGATTCACATAATAGATAAGGTAAGCCCAGATTCTTTTGACTGCACACCAGACTACAGACAATAGCAAACCACTCTATGTTTCAAAGGAACATGATACAATGAAGCTGTACATAAGGGGTTTGCAAACATTTAAGAGCAAGGGCCACTAAAAGTTTTATTACTAACCTTGCTGGGCCACCTGAGTGAAATCCCCTATCTAGCCAAAAAACTCACCGACTGGAATAGGTCGCGTTTCTCCGAGCACATCTCCTCCGCGATGTCTTGCATACACTGCTTAATAAACTCACTGTCCATGAAGGGTTTGGCAGCTGCTTCTAGAAGCTGTGATACTTGATAACTAGCTCGGGTAGCCGCAACATTTTCTTCGAATTCTCTTGAAAAGTTTTTGCTGCCCCTGAAGCGACTTTTTCAACTGTTCTATTTTTTCCCTCCATCCATCTCCTGTGTATTTCGAAAACTGATGTTTTGTCTCGTTATGCCTTTTTATATTGTATTTTTTAATCCTGACGGATAAGACAAGGCTGAAATTGGCTTCTTACTCACGTTTTTCGTTCCACCTTAAATACTGTCACTGTGTTGTTATGTCGCTTTTCGTCTGTAGATGGCTCTCTACAGTCATTTTTAAATGTTCTAATCCGGATGGATTTCTGTACATAATGTATCATCAGTACAGGGAAATAGTAAATAGTGACTGTCCAAATTGCATTTTTGTATGAAACACATTTCAGAAACTCGAAAACCAAGTTTCAAAACTCACAATAACACAAACTGGCATTTTAGACAACGAGTAAATAAGACAAAGGCAAAACGTTAATTAACTGGCACTATGCATATTTACCAGGACATTGCCTTCTGATCATTAAAAGTATCATATTCTTGCATTTTACAAGATATTTAAATATAGCAGTATTAAATGGGCCATTTAGAACATGGCATATGAGAATAAATGGTTATCTGAGGATGAGCAAAGGGTGTTTGCACTTTCTGCTTATTGCTATGAACCTACCCCCTGGTTATAAAAACGTCTCACAATTCTAAAAGTGAGATAAGAGAGACAATGTAACAGAATATCAAAATCCTGAACTTCAGGAAATTTTAAAATATGACCCTCTGAACATGGCATGAGAGAATGCATTGGGAAAACCTGATTGCACTTTCTGCAGTATTGCTATGGCCCTCCCTCCTGATTACAAACTCGTCTCACAATTCTGACACTGAGCTGTGAGAGACAACGTAGCAGACCATCGAAATCCTGAACTTCAGGAATTTTTACTGTACCGTTTTTTAAATATGACCCTCTGAACATGACATGAGAGAATGCATTGGGAAAAAGTGATTGCACTTTATGCTTAATTGCTATGGCTCTCCCTCCTGATTATAAAAACGTCTCAAAATTCTGACACTGAGGTCACTCCTACCCCCTCCATGACATGCTTGTTGGAATAAAGAGCACTTTCAGCAACAGGCTGATCCTAGCACGGTGTGACAGGCAGCATTACAGAAGGTCATTTGTGCCTACTGCCATAAGACTTTACGACCTATGTCTGGGCAGTGGCAACACTGACCTGTTGTGGCACCATACCTGTACACCTGAAACCTGATTCCTCTGTAACAACTGGTGCTCTGTCTACATCTGGTTTATAGAAGTGCAATACATGGAAGTGGAATGGGCAATTTATTTATTATTCCCAACTCTGCAATAGTTGCAATGGTTACCTACTCTGTGCAATATGCTTGGGAGTGTGTAATATCTATACTGTGTATTACATCTTCCTTGTGTTCGGTATATTTATACTTTTTTGTGCGTGTGCTTTTTTCTGTTTTTTTTTGTAATTCTTTATTCCTTTTTTAAAATGTATTTACTGTTTCGATTACTTAATTTGTACTGTACTGTGTTGATTGTGATATATCAGGTGGGTAGCTGCATCAGCATGCATAGGCAGCAAAGGAACAAGTAATAGGTTTATTCCATGCTGAAAAGAGAAGAAAGGAAACACAACATTTCAGCTGTGGAGCCTTCTTCAGGTGTAAGAAAGATAGGGCAGTCAGCAACGATAATTATCTTTTTATCTTTGCTGACTGCAGTTTATCTTTGGTGACAACATCAAAAAAGTTAAAGAACTTTTATGGGTAACAGCTCCACATCTTCTTCCTTTTATAACTAACCTCATCAGATCCCTCAACTCCCACTCTATCAGTTTCTCACTTCAGAGAACGGTTAAAAAACACAATCATCTTATACTGGGCAAAACCATCAACACCCCTCCCACTTCCACCAGACCTAACCTTGTTGTTATCATACCCTCTGACCTTTCCCTTTCGCGGGTTGAGTGATCTCTTCTCAGAAAAAGCCTTAATTTTGTACTAGCCCCCAAGAAGCTGGACATCCCCCAAACCCAAGTCAACCTCAACTGCTTTTACCAAATGATTATCTTTTCTGACTGCCCTATCTTTCTTACACCTGAATATGATGAGTGATTTTGTCTCTCTTACCTTAGTGTTGGAATGTTAGGATATTTTGGTAATGAGGAAGGAGGGACAAGGCAAGGTGCAGAAGGTGCGCTATTTTGTTGACTATAAATTCTCACATGCAAGGTTCAGTTTTTATAATCAGGAGGGAGGGCCATAGCAATACAGCAGAAAGTGCAATCAGTTTTCCCCAATGCATTCTCTCATGCCATGTTCAGAGGGTCATATTAAAAAAAACAGTACAGTAAATTTTCCTGTACTTCAGGGTTTTGACAGTCTGTTACATTGTCTCTCACACCTCAGGGTCAGAATTGTGAGACGATTTTGTAATCAGGAGGGAGGGCCATAGCAATTCAGCAGAAAGTGCAATCACTTTTTCCCAATGCATTCTCTCATGCCATGTTCAGAGGGTCACATTTAAAAAACGGTACAGTATAATTTCCTGAAGTTCAAGATTTTGTGTCTGTCAAATTGTCTCTCACACATTGGTGTCAGGATTGTGAGACGATTTTGTAATCAACAGAAAGTGCAATCACTTTTTCCCAATGAATTCTCACATGCCATGTTCAGAGGGTCATATTTAAAGAACTGTACAGTAAAATTTCTTGTACTTCAGGATTTTGATAGTCTGTTACATTGTTTTTCACGCCTCAGTGTCAGAATTGTGAAACATTTTTATAATCGGGGGAGGGCCATAGTAAGAAGAAGAAAGTGCAATCACCTTTTCCCAGTGTAAGTTCGTGTTATTGTGAGTTTTTAAAATTGGTTTGCAGTTTTCTGAGATATATTCAATACAAAAATACAGTTCGCACATTCGCTATTTATTTGGAAATTCCCTTTCACTCTGGATGTCTACAGTATTCCATCCGGATTAGTATCGAAGAGAGCCATCTACAGGCAAAAGGCGATATAACATCGCAGCAGAAACATTTAAGGTAAAACGAAATACGCGAATAAGAAGCTGGCAAATATGAAGCCAACTTCAGCCTCGTACAGAAAAGACACATTACCTTTTCTTTCCAAGGGACACGAAAGTACTCTCTGACCATTTGCTGTTGAATTTTCAACCCTCTGCATCGATCTTTCTTTTTTTCAACATGGCAGGGATAACTTACAGATAGTCTCTTGTCAGTTACAACCTGCTTTCAAACTAGATAGCATACAATAGACGTCATTTGCTTGACTGAGCCAATCACGGCAGGCAGCAAAAATCCAAATGAATTTACGGTAAGAATCAGTTGAAGCACAGGCGTGTTTGTAACCTAGGCTAAAGCTGACGTCTGATACGCTAAAAGTAAAATGCATCGAGGTGCTGTTCTGCAATTGACTGTTAGTGCTGAGAGAGAGCAGCAGAGCTAACAAGTAGAGAACATTGGATTTTCAATATCTGATGCAAAAAGTAACGAGATTCAGACAGTAGTGAGCTGCGGGCCACTCAGAAAAGCGGGCCGTAGTTTGCCGACCCCTGCTGTACATGAATGAAGATACTGTATGTATGTATAGTTATTTAGAAATATTAAGGCAAAGTAATGTTATTTTTTCCCATTTATTTTTAAATTAATAAAAAGATTTGGAACCAGCTTATTAGGAAAAGTAACATGATTTTTGATAAACTGGTAGTAACTTTTGTCTCAACAGCACTGAAAAGTGTCTATGTTTGAAAATGTCTACATTTATAAGTATGTAAATATAAGCCTTAATGGCATCTCTTTGTTTAAAGGTTTTAAGGCCACCGCTCACAGATATCCCCCCGCCACCCCCACCTCTGATGGAGGTCCTTAATAAAACACCTGCTTTCAGCCTCTTCAGAGATGCCTTGTGGGTAAGACTGCAGTACCCTAAGTGAGATTGGTATTTGGTATTTTGGAAAGCGTACTGTTCTTTTTTTTTAACATGATTATGTTTTATTAGTATGGTTATTTCATGGTCTATTTAAACAAATTCAATTAACATGTTTTTTAAAAATACTTTTATAATTACATATATTCTAACTAGCAAATTTATCTCTGCAGTTTTCTTGTGGTAAAGCAATCTTTCATACTGCTATATAACTCCTAAAAGAAGATGGTACAACAGTTCTCTTTTCTGTTCCCTTTAGCACTACAACCTAATTAGTGAGATCCTTTCATCAAAAAAATTCACCATTCTGGTTCCTTTTGATAAGGCCATTGAGAACCACCTCAACAAAACAAATTCCAATGCTCTGGTAAGTTAACTGTTCCTAAAACATCATGATGGTTTAGACCTTATTCTTGGTTTAAGTACAGTAAGTACATCTTAGCCAATTCCAAACTACCTTTTTCTAGACTAGCCAGGGAAGATCAATTTTAATCAATACTCTTTAATAAAGATAATACAGGGAAAAAAGCAGTGTTGTTAAGGAATTTTACTAATCCTGTAAAAGAATTCAAGAAAATAATTCACTTTATCTTGGTCTTTGGTATTATGAAAAGAAAAGAACAGGTGATAATCTTTAGCTTCTTCAATTCATGTGTATCAACAGGATGAAGATGTGTTAAGATACCACATTATAGTTAAAGAAAGACTTTTTCCTGAAGACTTGAAAAATGGAATCCTAAAAAGCACTTTGATGGGTCAATCTTATCAGATTATGTTTCACAATAATAAGCAAAATCAGGTAAGTCATACCAGAAAGATGTTCTGATCCAGTTTAGTTTCTGTCCACCTCCTAAAAGTGATACCTAATTAATGAAAGACATTTCAAAAACATATTTTCTGATTAATTACTATTTTATATTTCCTCTTTTTAGACATTTGCCAATGAAGTTCCTATGAATGTACATTTTAATGAAACAAGAAATGGTGTGTTAATAGGCATAAACCAGATTTTAGAAATTCATAAAAACCGCTGCGACAAGAATGTTACATTAAAAGCCAAGGTAAATCTGACACTTCCCTTTAAAAATTTGTCCTTTTTGATAAAAATGGGAAACATGATACCAATAATGTTTCTATTTTTCAATGTCAGAAAATGAAAATAAAGTATTAAACAACATGCTATTCCTACTGATTATTTTCAAAGTCCTGTAGCATTAACTCTTTTCATTTCCAATTTAAAACTGGTAGGCAGTGCAATCATTGTTCTGTATGCTGTTTCAAGCAACACATTTGTGTTAAAGCAAGGTTATAATCTTATGTACAGTACCACTCTGCATGTGAAAGTACCTCATCGTGTCTTTCCTGGTGTGTGTATTTTCAGGGACGATGTGGTGCTTGTGATGGATATCCCAGGTGCTCAGAAGGGTCCACTCCTGTGAGAGTTACTCATTCCCTAGTCTCAAACTTCAACACACAGTATTGTATAAATCTGTGGCAATGGTTCTATCTACAGTGGATATAAAAAGTCTACACACCCTGAAATTGCAGGTTTTTGTGATGTAAACCCAGAAATCAAGATAAATCATGTCAGACATTTTTCCATCTTAAATGTGACCTTTCTTGGATTATTATTATTTATGAGAAAAACAAATAGATAATTATTCGGAAAAATAATTGAAATTAAAAAACCTACAAAACCCTGGTTGCATAAGTGTGCACCCCCCATCCAACTAATACTTTGTGGAAGCACTTTTTGCATTTATTACAACAGTATGTCTTTGTGAATAGGTCTCTATCAACTTTGCATACCTGGACTTTGCAATTTTATCCCACTTCAAGCTCCTTCAAATTTTATGAGGCATTTGATGTGCACAGCCCTCTTAAGGTCATTCCACAGGTTTTCTATGAGATTGAGGTCTGGGCTCTGACCAGGCCATCCCAAGACTTTGATCTTCCTTTTCTGAAGCCATTCCTTGGTTGACTTGGATGTGTGCTTTGGGTCGTTATCATTTTGGAAGCTGAAATTCCTCTTCATCTTCAGCTTTTTGACAGAGGCTGGCAGGTTGTGTGCAAAAAATCTCTTGTTATTTTGAGCTAGTCTTCATCCCATTTATCTTTACTAGAGCCCCTGTCCCAGCTGAAGAGAAGCAGCCCCAAAGCATGATGCTGCCACCACCATGCTTCACATTAGGTATGGTGTTCTTTGGATGATGGGCTGTGTTGTCTTTGCGCCATACATATCTTTAAGAATTAAGGCCAAAAAGTTCAACCTTTGTTCATCAGACCATAAGACATTTTCCCACATGATTTGGGGTGATTAGACGGGCTTGGATGTTCTTTTTTATGAAAAATGGCTTCCGTCTTGCCTCCCTACCCCAAAGCCCAGACGTGCAAAATATGGGTTGTCACATGCAAAGAGTGACCAGTGCCTGCCAGAAATTCCTGCAACTCCTTTAATGTTGCTGTAGGACTGTTGGTAGCCTCCCTGATAAGTTTTCTCCTTGTTCTGTCATCAACTTTGGAGGGTCATCCTGATCTTGGCAAAGCCCCTGTGTCTCCACTTATTGATGATAGTCTTCAGAGTGCTGCATGGTACATCCAATGCCTTTGATATTCTTTTATACCCCTCTTCTGATCAGTACCTTTCAACTATAAGATCCCGTAGACGTTTTGTCAGCACCTTGCGGACCATGGTTATCCCAGTAGGATGCAACCCGAAAGTTTCAAGGAAATCCTACAGGAACAACTGATTTTTATTTGGGGTTAATCAGAATCATTTTCATTGATGGCAGGTGTATGCTACTTACCTTTGGACATGATTTTGAATGAGATTGGTTAACTCTAAACACAGCTACAGCCCCCATTATAAAAGGGTGTGCATACTTATGCAACCAGGGTGTTGTAGATTTCAATTATTTTTCCTAATAATTATCTATTTATTTTTCTTTTGAATTTTGTTGTTTGCAAGGTCACATTAAAGATGGAAAAATGTCTGACATGATTTTTCTTGATTTCTGGATTTGCATCACAAAAACCTGCAATTTCAATAAGGGTGTGCAGACTGTTTTTATATCCACTGTATCTAAAGCAGTAATATTTTTAAAACATTGCATTAAAATGTGAAAAGGCAAAGAGGCATTACAGTATGTATCTATTGTATTTCAGTATTTTAAACAATGACTATTTTATTACACCTAAACTTGATTTCAGAAACATACAGACCGAGGTTTGGGACATTTCAGGAAGTTGTAAAATTGACTTGCTGTGCCTAATGTAAAGTTCTAATACTTTATATCTGTTCACTAAAAGCTAAAGCCTCTATCAGCGACTGACTGCAAATACAGAAAACCAAGAAGAGGGAAAAAAAAAACAACATGGCGTACAGGTTGCGCCTACGAATGTTTGAAAACAACTCTGGTAATGTGTGGATCATAAATATTTTTATTTATATTAAATACAGTAGTCTCTTTTACTTCTGAAGTAAGTAATTGCCTACCAAAGTAAATAAAAAAATATTTTTTTTTTGCAATGGGAGTGTAGTGCATTACATACAGTTTACAGTATAGAGTATGTTTGTGCCATTTGCTTAGATATATTTAAATTGCCATACATTTTTGAATGTTGATCAAGTAAAATAAATTGAATGATGGTTTATCAGATATCTGCAAAATTATTTTAATGTAACTTAATACTGCATATATTTGCTTTGAAAACGTGTATCTTGATTTATTATCTGCACGGTTTACTTTTTCAATTATACAAACTGTATACGTATGTTGCTCCAATCAGATGATGGTCAGAACGGTCCAAAATGGCTGCCATCCCAGCCACCTCTGTGAAGGGAACAGGGCACAAATATAGAAGACTGTCAAAATGCATTTAATGAAAATAGTCTTGCAGTCTTACAAGCTGTGACCTGATGTGCACTTTCAGTGAACCCAGTCTGAATAATATTGAGATATGAATGCAGTTAATGGATGGTTCCTGTTGGTTCCTGATTGCACTGCACAGACTGTCTAGTGCAAATTGAACAAAATGTATAATATCTATTTTTAAATTGTTATAACAATTATAATACTTTGCTAGTGAGTTTTCATAAATGTTTTGTAATATTTTTGCATTTGAAAGGACCACAGCTGTTGTCCAGGTTATTTTGGACATTATTGTTATAAATGTCCTGGAAAACCAGGAAGCTGGTGTTCAAACAATGGCAAGTGCCATGATGGCATTTTTGGGAATGGAGAGTGTCTGTGCAATGAAGGTTTTCATGGTACAGCTTGTGAAAACTGTGAACCTGGACGGTATGCAAAGGACTGTAAATCAGGTAATTGAAGTTTTGTTGTTGTTTGTGGAGTATAAATCAATGCGTTTGTTCTGGGGAAGGGTTACAGGTATATCACATATTTCAGACCCTATTGTTTCAAATAGTTTTTAAGATGTGGTAATTTAAAGCAGTTTTTTGTACAGTTAGTGCCTAGGATATAGACATGGCATTGTAAAACACTTTGTCTGCCCTAATACAGGGGTTATTGATGGTACTGCAGGGGGTTCGTGAGTTTGTGATGGAAACGTCAATGTCAAATTCAGTTCAATTTTAAATATATATATTTTAAAGTAAAATACATTACATTAAAACAATCGAATGTAACAGTTTAGTCTGACTTTATAAGCAAAAACCAATGACCAATTAGCTGATAGAATTAGCCTGTCATGTTGTTAGCACGTTTTCATCATATGCGATCATGTGTACTGTATCTTGACGTAAAAGATGAGATGAGAGTATGTCTGTCAAAGATTGCCCCCAGGATTGATGATCTGTGCAAGACTCACAGATGTCCCATTAAAAAGGTAGGTCTATGCCAGTGCAATTGATCCACTGAGTGAGCTTTAAATGTTTGTTTTGAGTTGTTAAATAGTCCTATTAATAAATAACAATGTAATAATAAGTAGTTTTTACAAAGTGAAAAGAAGCATGTTAAGAGGGTTGCTATAGCATTTATCTACATTTATTGAATGGTTTGATTTAGTTAAAATCTCAAGGGGGTACTTGAGGCGAATAATCTAGGTTGAAGGGGTTCAGCTGACAAAAAAGGTTGGGAACCCCTGCCTTTATAGACTACCAGTCCTTGACTTTATTAAGAAATTATGCATATTTAGTCTTTCATATTTTAAAAATGGTTTTGAATCTTTCAAAAAGACTATATTGTTCTTTATGTTCAGTCAGATGTTTTGCAGACTCTAATGTATGAGCGAATAAATAAATACTGATGGAAAAAAGAAACACAACATTCTGCAATGAGAACATAGTTATAACTTATGTACTTTCACAAAAAGTTGTCAATTTGTTTTAAGCCCTCTGACCAGCAATACAGCTTGTGCAGTGAGGCATTGCAACTTACCAATCACACAAAGCTCATTAGGTGCACTTTTACCCAATGAGGTCTAGGTGGAACAATGCCTGATCAGTTCACCTTTAAAAAGGCCTTAATTCAAAGCTTAGGTCACTGCAAGAAAAAGGCCAAACTTTCAGTTTTCTGTGCATTCCATAATGCCTCGAATGTCACCAGAAGCAAGGGAGAGGGCCATTGGCATGCTGCAGGCAGGCATGTCATGTGCCAGCGTTGCCAGACACTATGGAGTAGGCAACTCCACTGTGTCTCGACTGCAGAGAAGGTTTCAGCAGACCGGCAGGACAGATGACCATCCAAGATAATAATAATAATAATAAAAAACTTTATTTTATATAGCGCCTTTAAAGGTGGCTTCTCAAAGCACTTCACAGAATGACAATAACAATAAATAAAAATAATACACAAGATATAACACAATTACAATATACAGGGGAGACCGTTGATGGTGGTACTAAGAAAAGTAGAAGCAGAGGGGTAAAGAATGGAACCAGTTAAGTAAAAGCTAAAGAAGTAAAGAAAGTGGTTTTGAGTCTGGATTTGAAGGATTTTAGAGAAGGTGACTTTCTAATATCCTTGGGCAAAGAGTTCCAGAGCTTGAGGGCATAACAGGAAAAGGCCCTTTCACCCATAGAATGTAGATGGGCTTGGGGGACAGTAAGGATACCAGAATTAGAAGAGCGAAGGTTGCGAGGTGGGAAGTAGGGCAATAATAGTGCAGACAGGTACTGAGGTGCCAAGCCATGTAGAGCATGAGCATGAGCATGAGCATGAGGATTTTAAAGTCTACACAGAATTTGACAGGAAGCCAGTACAAGGACTGCAGGATAGGAGTAATGTGATCACTTGCACTAGACCTGGTCAGGATTCTGGCTGCCGAAATTTTGATCCAGTCACCCTCGAGTGACCACACCAGAGCAGGACCGGCACATCAGACCGGTCCATCTGAGTGCTTGTTTCAGACCTGCCACTCATACTGCTGCAAAAACTGCCAGCAGACACAATGCCTGCATCAGTGACTAGACAGTGAGGCTCCATGCTGCTGGCCTTGACCTGTCAGAGGCCCTCTGCTCAGACCTCCTAGAGGTCACACCCGACTGGCTTGGGCCAGACAGAGGCTGCGATGGACTCTTCATCAGTGTCATCAGGTCCTCTTCATGGATGAGTCACTCTTCAGCCTGGTCCATGCAGACGGGAGGGGCAGAGTGTGGAGGAGTAGGTGTTGACTTTCTTATTTCCATCAGTATATAATGGGGTAGGGGTAAATTAAGTCAGTAAGTTATTTATCACATGCAGGAAATTCAAAACTCTTGATCCTGTAATTCTTACCTTCACAAGCATATATTACTCAAATGACAATTAATCTAGTAAGGCATACAAGGATCTTTAAAATGAGACCAAGATTCAGTCTGTTGATCAGAAATTATAATATTCTTGAAGCCTGAGTAGGTACAGAAATTCCTAAAGAAGACCATATCTGTTTTGACTGTGCCATTTGCGGTATTAATATTTAATTTTGTCTCATGTCCTTCCTCTACTAGACAAATTTATTTACAAGTTATGCTTTAACAGGCTGGTCATGAAACAGATAGCACAAGGGGGTTAGGTATTACATTTTTGTTTTTGTGACCTTTACTCAGTGAACCAAATCAAAAATAAAGAAAACATCTTCAGCATGGTGGTAAGGCCTTGATCTCTCTAGGCACATTGGTAGGAGAGGGTTATTTTCTTTTCATCAATATCGATCTACTCCATTTTGTAGCGGGGTTTAAGAAGACAGTGTAACAACACAATGATGAAACACAAATGTCAATGTGCCCTCCTTTCTTTTATGCTGAACACAGTGTGTCCATAAATTCCTTTTCCCTTATGTTTTAGGAAAAATCAGAATGCAGGCTGTATTGGCTTTCTGGTTTTTATGCATTTATGAGACTTAATGCTGTATGTACTGTAAATATTGTCCATAAATTCTGAAAGCATATATTTATATATATATTAATGTCTTACTAGCATACAGTATATCATTTTACCTCAACTATACTTTCTCTCTAGGCTTTCATCTCTAAATATTCATAACTCTGTATCATACCTCTGTGCATTGTAACTCAAAACAGGAGAACTACACAATGAAAACATTGCAAGCTGCTAATTGGCTGCCATCATAGCGGCTCTTCTGTAGCTCATTGCCTGTTCTCTTTTACTCTTTCATCATCAACACTGCTAGTCTCACCCTCAATGGCTCTGACCTTCAGTCCATTTGTTCTGTCTCTTAGTTGATCTGTCACTGTAAGCCACTCTGATCACTGTTTCAGCAGCTTGGGTCTTCTGCTCATGAATCAGTTCTGGAACTCTCCTGCAGAGCTCCTGGGTGTGTAGTTCTCACCCCGTTACTCGCTAACTCACACTCCAGTTTACAGAGAGCAAACATTTAAATAGAGAGGAGAACAACTTTCAGGTTTGTAAGGACTGACAGCTTTTCTCTTAAATGATAACTGGGCTAACTGCCTTTCAATGATGTATAAACATTTTTTTAAATTAATGTGATTCAATACCTGAATGTTCAAACTGAAGACTCCTAAGGGTAAGATAAGTTACACGAAGTATTAGTAAAAACTCAAGAGAAAAAAAAATGAAATATGTTATCTGTATAAGTATTCTGCCCTGTGAACTCAAATTTTGATAGAATCAACGTTGGCTGCAATTATAGCCACAAGTCTCTGTTTAAATCTTGATTAATTTTGCACACAAACTTGGTGCAATTTTTGCCTGTTCTTCTTGATAGATTTACTCAAGTTGCTTGGGTATCGCTTATGGACTTTATTATTTACACTGATTTTCAAAAGGATTTCAGTCAGCACTTTAACTGGACGACTCAAGGACTGTTACTTTTGTACACAGTCCTGTGTTCATCTGGCTTTTTGCTTTTGGTTATTGTCCTGCTGCAAATTGAGTTGTCATCCCAGTTTTAGGTCTGAAGCAGGTGTTCCTCTGTAAATAATTTCTCTAATAATTTACTTCCCAGACCCTGCATATGAAAAGCAGAGCTATAATGTTTTTAGGCCAAAAAAATTACATTTTGTCTTGTTTGACCTTTTGTCAAATATTTGTGGGATATGAGATGTTTTCCACTATGCCATACAGACCAACTTTGTGGATTGACTGGAATATTGTTGACTGACTCATGGAAAATTTGTTTTATCCCTGCCATTGAACTCAGTAGCTGTTTCAAAGTCAAAGTTGGCTCACTATACAGTGTGTGCTAAATCTAAGAAAAAAATCTAGATTTAGGGGTGTCCCACTAGAGTGTATCCTACTGTACCTTTCACCTGTTGCTTGTCACAATAGGCTTTGGCTCTATCACAACCCCATGTTGGATAAAACAGTTAGAAAGTGGATGGATGAATGGATAACCCATGAATTAGTAAAGTTAATATACACACAGTACCTTTTTGTTTTTCATTTTCTTTCACAAAAATTGTTCCTGTTTTTTCATTGTGTTAAGTATAGGACATAGGAGGATGATATAGATCTTCAGTTTATAATTTAAAGTAGGAAATGATTTACAATTGGATTGTAGGTGCCTAAACAATCTGCCTTGTATTACCTTGTAGTAATCCCTTCTTATTATTTTATACAGTATATCACTTCTTATTTTCTTGTGAATACATTTGTTTTAGCAGAGATATACACATGCTTAGATTACTCTCTTATGGACAAATTTGCAGTTGTGTAGTGGGATCTTCAAAATCCAGGTACAAATTACATAGTCATCCACTAGCAATATTTAGTTTTATGATACCACAGCTTTTATCTATATTAAATTATTTGTTTAAATATATTGTATTCTTTTTTCATACTCACAACTGTAATTCTATTTATGTCACCTAATTTCCTTCTTGCCAATATGGCAATATGGTAAACTGCTTCATTTTCATTTGCCCCTTAGTATGCACCTGTAGTCATGGAAAATGTATGGATGGGATAAAAGGAGATGGGAGATGTCTGTGTTACAAAGGTTGGAAAGGAGCGAATTGTACGGTGGGTAAGTATGGGGCAGGTCAATTTCAAAGCACACAGGAGAACTTTGACTATTCTTTTGTGTTTAGTTTGTTTTTTAAACTTTAATATCTGTCAAAAGCATAAAATTGATCCTTATAGCACACAGATTCTTCTAGGCATGCAATGTGAGATAGAGGGTTCTCTTAAAAAAACATATTTCAAATACTTTTCTCAAGGTTAGATCAATTTCATAGTCTTCAGCTGAGATGCCCACTCAGTGGATATCAACAGCAACTAAATATAGTGTTGCTCACCAAGTTTGTTTTTGTTATTGTGGTCTCCCAAAGATATAATTAAGAATCAGGGCTTCACTTATCTAACTTCTTTGCTGTCTTGTTATTATGTTAATAATATTATGTTTTTATGTTTATGTAAGTTAGTAAAAAACAGTGCCAATAACTGCACAAGGAAACTTGTTGAAACCAATCTTGAAAGAGGTAGTATTACATTGTGTAACCTGTTTCATTCTTTACAGAAATTGTGGCTGATGCATGCAATGGTACCTGTGACCCAAATGCCAAGTAAGTGGCAAGGTTTGAGGATAACTTGCACTCAAGCAGAAATCTTAAGACTATTTTGCAGTATCGGAACAGTTACATTCACATAAAATCTAGGATGCTGGAAAATTTAGAAATGAGGTTATTACACTGTTGGCAAGGTTAACCTGCAACAGGACAACAAAATAAATAAATTAATAAAGGATTAAACATTCTCAATCATCAGAGTCTTGTTTCCCACAACCTAACACAACGTGTACATACTGTAGTAGATTAAATCTACATTTCCAATGCAGTGTTCTAGCTACTACAACTGTTATCTGAAGGGGTTTAGGCAGATATGTGACCCTGTCTTGTGTTAGGGTTGTTATGGACATACTGGATGTGCATAGCCAGAAAGTGGCCATAATCATTTACACTATGGCTGGTTTTATAAGCCAGTCCAATAATGGTGTTCATGTGATATCACTGGATGAACATAGCATCATTGTGCCTGAGATTTTTTTGGGAAAACTATTTCTTGTCATGAATGTATCATCTTGTCTTCCAAAATCCTACACTTCTACCACATATGGTGCAATAATTAAATTATGTTAGCATTTTATATGTACAATTTAAGTATGTCAAGCTTCTACAAAAGAGAGGAGGTCAGCCTATTTGTTTCTAGTTTACAATTTGATTGGTTTGATGATTGGTTTCTATTTGGTTTCTACTACCAGCAAAAACCCATCCAGTTATTTTCTGAAAGAAGCAATTGTATTTTAGTTTTCATTTGTTACTGGTTTATGTATCAAGAACATTTTGGTGCAGAATATTCCTGACCTTCAGTGAATCTTCATGTTCAGGTATGACTAATCGTGGTGCTTCTTCCATAGTCAGCATATTTATTTATTATTTATAGTGGCTAATAGTGGTCCCCAGTTTCCACCTTTGGTCCTTAAACCTGCAGATCAGAACTCTAAAATCCAAATCACAGATTTTCCAAATGCATTGCAATTATACCATTTTTTTTTAATTTCAGCTGCATCACAGAAAGATTAGGGGCAACTCCTACCTGCTCCTGTTCAGCTGGGTACCAAGGAAATGGGACATTTTGTACAGGTGAGAGATCTGTAAATATATCAGTTTAAGATATTCATCCTGACACCAAGTATTTCATAAAGGTTATTGTTGATTAGTTTAATAAATTTCAGCACATGTAGAGCATAAAGTACATATACTCTGAGCTTCAATGTTAAGATCCAGATAGATAAAAATACCGTAATTTTCACAACATTCCCTGGAGCCAAAACACTGTGAAAAATAGTGTAAGTTAGTTAAGTGGGTCAAAACCAACCATTTGAAACATAATATATGGCCCTGACTACTTAGTTATTGAAGGTCAAGGCATTGTTCAGAAGAGTTCATAAAAGTAAGGTTGTTGACCTCAGTGTCCTGGCTAAATTCCAGAAATGTGTTCAACACAATCTGGCCTCCATAGTTTTTCCTTAAATTTGACTTGATCTGCTGTGTGGTGGAGTTAATGATGGAGAATGGCTCTACAAAAGTGTATTTGCAGTGATACATTTTTAATTTAAAATAATAGTACATTAAAAAAGTGTAAAATTTCCCTCTTAGAGATCAATCTGTGTGACACCGATAATGGGGGCTGCTCACAATATGCAAATTGTAGTGAAACAATACCTGGGGAGAGGAGCTGTACTTGTCAAGAAGGCTATACTGGAGATGGTGTTGTGTGCCTGGGTATGTACCAAAATAGCATTTCTTTTCCATTATGCCATCTTTCAACTGTAATCTGTATCTGAGGTATCTCTGAGGGGTACATCCTGATAGGCGTCCTTTCAAACTACTCTAAGTGTTTGACCAAAAAGGCGCTTCTGGAAAAATAAGAATATTTTGGTCACCCTATGTGTCAATGCCAAATGGCAAAGAGAATTATTACCCCTTACATGACACATTGATAGAAAGAGGGGTGTGGGAAAGGGTAGGTGGTGAAATAGAAAAGTTGACTATGATTAATAGAATTATCTTTCTATAACTAGACCAAGTTTGTAAATAATCATGCATTACACAGTCACATCCATGGTGATTTAAAAGTAATAGAAATATACAGACAATAAAGGCAAGTGGTTTAAAAGATCATACAAGAAGACTTCTACTCTGACATTGCCTGTGATCAACATGTTCATATCCCCATTTGCTCTTCTGTACTGCAGAGATAGATGGCTGTTTGGAAGACAATGGAGGGTGTCATCCCAAAGCTGACTGCATTAAAACTGGGCCTAATTTAGTAAGACTTACTTTCTCTCTACTCTGTGTTGGAACATATGTGTATAATTGATTTATCTGTCTTAACAATTAATTGATTATCAATCATACATGCTTCACAGGTGTAGAAGACCTTGGGCATCATTTTTATCTCAAAAGCTCCAGCCTCAGAGAGCTTCTATCATCAGTCCTGAGTAATTGTTATGTTGCAGGATAATATCCTTTTACCTCAGAGAACACAGCTCTCTGATGTTGGAACTTTAATAATGACAATAACGTCTGGGTGTAGGGAAAGGAAAGGCATAACACTACTTCATTACAAGAACCTTAAGATTATATGGATATGTGAGAGAACTATTTTGAAAAATAAAAGGTCTGTGCTCCATCACTGAAACCTGGTGCACGGTTCCTAAATTCACTTTATTAATTGAATTACTTTCTTATGTATATGAAAATATTAAGGATGGAAAAAAAACTAAACATGCTGTATAAAGAATACAGTGGAGACTAATTCAAGTACAGTAGACAAGGGAAAAAAGGTCAGATCAGCCAAGAGAGAGAGATAAATACTTAATGGTGGCTGAAAAAATACTTAATGGTGGGAACAGGTATCTGTTATTGCCGAATGCCCATTAAATCATGATTAACCTTTTTTTCAGCCCCAAAACACACTATTAAATATATATTGCCATATATTCATATTCATATGTGTATATATTCTGACGGCCACGACCACTCTAATCTCTCCGTCTGTGTTCTCAAAGACGGTTTTCCGAACTCATACATCAGAAAGACCACCGAAACTAAAATTATTCTGCAGCTAGGATCACACATTCTCCCTTCCCTTAACGACAGATTACTGTTCTTTTAAATTTTCTCCATTCATTGGAAGTTTCATTTCACATCTTTCTGCACCCATTCTGACTTCACACCTCTTGATTGGCCTCTCTTTCTGTCCCCTGCTCCCGCCTCTCACTCCTTTGTTCTCCCGCTACTTTACCTTTGCCTACTGCCCTGTCTCTCTCACACCTGAAGAAGGCTCCACGGCCGAAACATTGTGTTCTCTTTCTTCTTTTTTTCAGCATGGAATAAATCTATTACTTGTTCCTATACATATCTTTTGACTTATGTGTTATTTGTTAGATAAGGTTAGATCTATCTACTCTTAGGATTTGTTTGATGTTTAGATATGTCTTAATATGTAAAACCACAGAAACCATTATTTTTTACCTTGTGTTATTATGTGTGCATTTCCTTGTTATTGCAAGGAAAGCCCTGTATCTTTGTACTTACAAAACATACAAAATTCACCTTCAGCAGATTTTGACCGAAGTCAATCCAAAGTCCACTAAAGCAAAGTCCATTAAATGATGGGTTTACTGTACTCATTTAGTACATCAGCTATTTCTATTTCATTGACTAGTTTCTATAACATCTATTCCCTTAATTTTATCCTGTTTTTTTTAAAGATCAAGTCAATAAGAACATCTCTCCTTGTTTCTGCTTTTACAAACTGGAGATGAAATAATCTTTAGCCATTTCAATCACATCCACTTCTGCTTCTGTGTTCCCCAGCGCAAAAGTCCAATTTATGTGAGGAATGTTAAAATCTCCCAGTAATATAACATCAGTGTTTAAGTAGATTCCAGACAGAAAAGATTAGATACTTTACACAGAGGACTGTGTGGGTCAGTCACTAGTCAAGTTTCTCTCTAGTCCAAGTGGTTGAAGCTAATGAGTTCCTTTAAGAACCTCATAAACAAAATGCTTAGATAATTAAAATCAGAACTTTGCTATATTAATTTGTGTCTTATATTCCACATTAGAACACATCTTTTTTAATTGGAAAGTGACCTTGATTTGAGATCACTTTACAATTCACACGAATGAAACAATGGAATTTACTTATTCGTATATATTTTTGTATTATTCATACATTTTGTATATTTTTGCATTCATTAATACAAAGTCATTATTTCATAGTAAGTAGATAATTCCTTCTTACTTTATCTGTAATTTTTTTCTATGTAAGTTTGCAAAAAATCTTGTTTACCCTTTTGTGTTATAGGTTGGTTGTAACTGTAAAAGTGGCTACTCTGGTAATGGAAAATACTGTTTTCCTGTCAATCCCTGCAGAGTGGTAGGTATCTCAAGTTACACTAGAATTTGCTGTTGACCATTTTTTTCTTCTAAGATGCCTTGATCTTCTCCTGTTTTACAGCTCAATGGAGGCTGCAGTATACATGCCTGGTGTGAGTACACAGGACCAGGGACTCGGAACTGCACCTGTAGAAGAGACTACATAGGAGATGGCTTCAACTGTAAAGGCAATGTCAACCAGGTAACATGTCCTTAGACACTCTTTTTAATTAGACTTATTCTAATTCAGTTCTGGGACAAAAGAAATTGGGAGTTGGAACAGTTTTATAACGCATTTATATCACACAATAATCTCAACCATTAATTTATAGAATCATTTAAACCTTATTCTGAGTGTAAATCCCATTTATTATTTTGCATAATACATTAGTATGTAGATAAACATTTAAATATAAAAGTTAATATCTAAAACTCAAGGAAAAAAAATCAAACCAGAGATCAAATGCTTTGTTTGCCACATTCCAGGAGCAAAACGTGGAACAATCTATTAGCCATTCTAATAAGAGTCAAGTCAAGTGGACATTGTTTATCCTTTTAGTTTGAATCTATTGGAATGGCTTTGTTCTTCTATTTTAATATTAGAATGAAAGAATATTAAGTCCTTTAAAGCCTGAAAATGTAGTCTTTGCCTAGTATCCTTCAGTATCTGCAGGCTCTTGACTGCAGTCAACACAGATGTTTCCTACAGTTCTATAGAAATATCTGGTCTGCTTTGTCTACTAATAGATGTTTCATTGACATGTATTGTTCTTGTTCTAGGAAATCTTACGTCACCCAGCAGCTGCTTGGTTCTACAGACATCTAAGGGTAGGTATTACATAGAAGAATTTGATTGGGTGGCTAGTCTCTCATGGATACTATGCTGAAAGTACAGTATAAATAAATCATGGCAGAATACAGATAAGTTGCACTTTAGTCTTTTGAATTCTGTGAGATATGGATATTGAGCTCTATTCTCAATCAGTTTTTTTCTTCATTTAATAATTAGAGACAAGAGCACATTCAGTTCAGGTTCATCACTGAATACCAAATCTCTCCAAATCTAAATTCTTCAGAATCTGACCTGGATCTCCTGTTGCCTTATTTCATAATTCCAGGTTCAGGTCTAACTTTAACTCTGTTTTCACACCTGAAGAAGGCTCCACAGCTGAAACGTTATGTTTCCCTTCTAGCCAACACTATTGTAATTTGTATTGGCATTGTAATTTAAATTACAAAATATTCTCACTCATCACTGCAGAGTATAGAGCAAAGTAATATGGTTTCTTTTTTTTCTTGTGAATAATTTTTCAGCTTAGAAGGTAAAAATGTAATAGTTTAAGCAAACACTGTATTTATTAAAACTACAACACAAACACTTTAACTACTTGCCACACATAAACTGCTTTGCAAACTGATCACCTGGATAGAGTTCCAAAGCTCAGAGAATACATCAAAATCTCTACATTCTGAATTATACCCACTGAGTTAAATTTCTAAAACAGTGAAAAGCAGACACAGATACTTTATCTAGGAATAATTAAATTTCTACAGACTATCTGACTCTCTGTGGTAAAAAGGAGACAATTAAGATTACAAGATTACAAATAAGAGTGAAAAGGTTTGCCTGGCAGAATTTAATTAAAAAATATTTACGTTATTTCGACAAATGGACATATAGCTTTTTTTTTTAAAGTCACCTCTGTGCCAATGGTCAGTTTCGATTCATTTATGATTTTAGAGGATGAAGATAACTGCATAGTGAAATGATCTTGCTTTTTGCATGCATCCTCCTCTTCTTTCATCTCTTCTGTCCATCCATTTTCAACCACCTTTCTACCACAGGGTCAAGGGGAATCCAGAGCTTATCCCTGAAAACTTTTTTCTTCTCTGATACTTAAATATTAAGTTGAACACATGAGTGGTCAGACAAACCTGACATCAGAACCAGGTTAACAGATTTCTGAGATTTCAGTGATTTATCATTATTAATATACCACAAACTCATTGTTTGGAGAGGGTGCAACATTTGGGCCTCAGACCCCTATGTATATTTTCTCCTACTGTGCATTTGTGTTTTCCTCTCCTCAATGACCACATTGCTGTACAATATGGCCAACTGCTGTATAATTCTGTAAAGCCCTCTGTTTCAAACGGTTGAAAAGGTTTGAAACTAAATAACAATAGTTGGTTGATTGATTGACAGACCAATCAGTCCCAGTGAATTTGCTCAGAATACAGCATGCTTGGCTAGTAAGTAAACCAATATTTTAGTTTGTGTCACTTGCTTGTCTTTTCCATTTTGGTTTTATCTTGGTTTTTTTTCCTTGAATTATTGATTTGATTGTTCTTGTAATAATGATAGATATTTTTGTTTTACTACTGCATTCCTTTAACAGATATAAATAGAGATAATCTAGATAAAAAGTTATGGGTTAAAAAGTAATTGCAATTAGTTAATCAGACCTTAAAAAGGGCTTAGGTCTAAGATCATAATGTAATGTGTTATAAAGGAATTTATAGTTTGTACTAATGCTTGTGTGTGGCTGTATGTTTTTTTCAACAGAAAAACAGCCTCAATGACTTATCAGGCAAGGGGCCTTTCACAGTCTTTCTTCCTCATCAAGATTATGTTCAAAATGTCACGGTATTGCAGTTTTCTCTGATAACTTTCTTTCATGTCATACTCTTTTCTTTTTATAAATGTGGAACATTCTGAGATGCAGTGATAGATTGCTTGCTTTTCAGATTCATATTAAATACTACAGATTTTACACACATGAGCATGAAAAAATAAAGGGTTTTTAAAGAAATATCTCTGATGTTTATAGCAACAGAGAAAACCTCCATAGCCATGTGTCACCAAAACATGTGTAAATGGTTAGTTGATCATCAGGAAGTGAGTCCACAGGTATATAAAGTCAGACACTTTGTGAGTTTGGTCTTAGGTTTGTGGTAACACATCATGCACAGACAAAAAAATCTGTGACAGTCTTAGAGAACCAATTGTTGCTGCTTATCAGCCTGAGATGGGTTGCAAAGTCATGTCCAAACAATAAGAAGTTCATAATTCCACCATAACAAAGATCATCTACAAATTCAAGATTGTTGCTAAGCTACCCAGGAGTGCCCATCCTACCACATTCTCCCCAAGCTATGACCATATGATTCACCTAGAAGTCTCAAAGAAAGGCTACATCCAGGGATCAACAGGCCTCTCTTGCTATGACAAATGTCAAATGTCATGAGTCCATCATCAGAAAACAGTTGAATAAGAATGGCTTACATGAAAGGATAGCCAAGAGGAAAGTTCTCTAAGAAGAACATACTGTAGCTGCATGGCTAAAGTTTTTAAACAAGACTTCTGCAACAATGTACCCTGGATAGATTAATCAAAAGTGGAATTGTTTGGCCATAGTGCAAAACATCATGTCTACCATAATATCCATACTATACCAGAGTATTCTAGAGGAAAATGTGAGACCATCTGTCTGATGGGTAAGGCTAAAAGAAAAGTGGATCATGAAAAAGGTCAACCATCCAAAACACATAAGCAAATCTATGACAGACTGGCTAAGAAATAAAAAAAAATCAGTATTTCAGAATGGCCAAATCAAGGTCCATAACTCCATAGAGATGCTTCTAAACATCTAAAAAGATCTGTGCATGCATGAAAGCCCTCAAACATCACAGAGTTGAAGCAATTATGTGTCATTTCCTCTTAGGCAAAAGAGAAACTGTTAAACCTTACAGGAAATGTTTAATTTTAGTTATTACTGCTAAAAGGGAGTATCTACTATTTCTACTATTAGGACTTTAAGAGGACTAGGTGAAGGTAAATTATGGCTAAATGTATTATATCATAAAAAAGGGGTGTACTTATTTTTTCACCATTATTGTATGCTGTGCGTAAATTTCAAGTGGAGTTTGTTTTAGAATGATCTTCCATTTCTGAGAATATGATTTGGGATTTTAAATAGAGAAGTCTCTCGAGAAATATATATGCAATAAAATTCCTTTCATGTACTACACAAATTGTACGTGTTTTGTCTTTCTCAATTTTCAACCACAAGTCTCTCTTTCTGCAGCTGGAAGACTGGACAAACACAAATCGCACTCCTCACCTGCTGAGGTATCACCTTGTAGGCTGCCAGAGTCTACAGCTGTCTGACCTCCAATCTGTAAAGAAACTCATCAGCCTGTCTGGACACTCCCTGCACATCTCTGTTAAAGAGGTACTTCTGTTGTGTGAGTGAGGGTGTTTTTAAAGTTTGTACTGAATCGTTAAATTCATACTTTAGAATTCCCATATTTTTGTTAACATACCAATGTGAGCTCAGTTGGAAGAATGCTGCTATCGAGCAAAGGATATATGTACTGTATGATGTATTAATAATGTTCAAATAGATTTGTCTATTGTCTAAAATAAAGAGAACAATACATTGAATCAAAGATCTCTTTTGGTATAGCTCAATGAAAAATTTAAGTGTTTTTCATCCATACAGGACACTGTTTACATAAATGAGGAAACAAAGATTGTCATCAGTGACTATGTTACATCCAATGGGGTACTGCATTTTATTGATAAGGTTTTAATACCTTATGATTTAAAGAACAAAAGTGGAGCACTACAGACCTCGGTATGTGATATAAGAAAGATAATGTTTCTAAAATTAATTTTTTTATGTATCTTTTTGGTGAAAAATCATAACTATACCAAATGTTGTAGGAATATTTTGAACAGTCTTTCATTTGTCTTCCAAAACCTTTCAGTAGGCTTGCATAAACCATTTATCTCCTGACACCAGTCATTGTAGCAATAGCTTTACCACCCTGTAGCCAGTATCTCAGAAGCTAAGTAAGGATGTGTTTGGTCAGTATTGGGGATACTGCTGTTGGAGGTATCATCCTGAAAAATGCCAAGTAGCATTCACTTTTTTCTCTGTGTCCTGTCCCTGGGACACAACCAATAAAAGGTTCTTCAGATAAGATGCCCTGTCTTTAAGATGAAGTTCTGGCTACACGGTCATTAAAGTTCCCTGGGTATCTTTGCAAAAGAGTACGGATGTTATCTCCATCTTATGCACAATTTAGTCTACCTAAAATTCTTCACTTAACTGGTGAAGCAGCTTCTGACTTCTCCCCATTTTCCACATGATCTGCTATATAGTGGGGTAGCTGGTGCAGAATGGCTGCTAATTGTCACCCAGGTGGGGCTGCACTTCTTAGAATTTCCTACTGTAAATAAAGTACTTTGGGTTTCTTTGAGATGAAACACGCTACACAACTTTATAGTTTATAGCATTTAGAGTTATTATAGGGTTAAGCTTTCCATGACAACATTAACACTATTGCACCAATGAAATGCATTAATCTTACAAAAAGTACTGACCAAATAAATGGAGCTATGTTTTAAAGGAGCTATCTGGCTTTTCATTTCAGATGAATCTTACTGCTACAGCAGAAGCTCATGGGTACTCCATATTCAGCAAACTACTTCAGGTATTTAAGAAGTTTTGTTAATCCTTTATTATCTCATATCTATATTGATATATCAGTATTGAATAATTAATATTAATATATTAATATGATATTAATTAGCTCTGACCATTGTTGTGAGTTAAATGCTTTGACCATACAGCTGTCTCATACGCCTGACTAAATAACTTGCTCTTCATTGATAATATAATGGTCCCCCTTATTCTGGTTTCCAGTGAAGCTGCAATGGGTATCAGCCCTCAGACCAAGCTCCTCTGTGTCCTCTTTTACTTTTCCAATGTCTATTCATTTGAAAGTTTAAACTGTTTTTAGTTTTTATATTTTAAATGTCATGAAGTATGGTTGTTAGTTTGTTGACTCATGCTTTGACAAAATTTGTGAAGATCTCCAATATGCATACTGTTGCATATGAGAGTAAATACACAAAACATTCCACCAACAGAATGATTTAATTAATCCTGATTTTGTTATGGGCATCTTTATTTAACCCACTATATTATTCAAATTTAAAAGTTATTATACATAAAAGAACAACAAATGCCTAGCAAGGGAATATACACAAGTCTTACAGACCTTCTCATTTCATATAGCAAGTTTCTTGGGTAAGCAGAAGAACTAGATACTACCTACAGCTACAAGTTACAGCTTTCAGGATACCGTAACCAGGAGACTGTTCCACTCGCGTCTCTGTTCCTTCTTGCATTGACCTACGGGGTGTCTACAACCTCATTCGCATCCGTGAGGGTGATGAGTGGAAGACAGCCTTCATTACTACACTTGGTCATTATGAATATCAGGTCATGCCCTTTGGCCTGGTTAATGCTCCTGCGGTATTCCAGGGCTTTATGAATGACATTTTTAGGGACATCGTTCAGAAGTATGTTCTGGTTTACCTTGATGATATTTTAATTTTTTCTCGCAACATGGATGATCATGTCCTTCACGTCCGCTAAGTTCTCACACGACTCATCAATAACCACCTCTATGCCAAGTTGGAGAAGTGTACTTTCCATACTTCCAGGATCCACTTTCTAGGATATATAATCTCCTCTCTGGGTGTTGAGATGGACCCTGCTAAGGTCTCTGCTGTCCTGGACTGGCCCACACCCAAGAACCTGAAACAAGTGCAGCGTTTCCTAGGCTTTGCCAACTATTACCGCCGTTTCATCCGAAACTTGTAGCACCCATCACCTCCCTTACTTGTAAAGGCCCTGGACAGGAAAGCTGGACCCCAGAGGCAGATTTCTTCGTCTCAAGCAGAACTTCTCCTCGGCCCCAGTTCTCCATCATCCTGATCCCCTTCCTTTTGTGCTTGAGTTCGATGCCTCCGCTCTTGGTGTTGGTGCCATTTTTTCTCAACGCCATGTTCAGAAGGGCACGCGCCTTCTTTTCAAGACGCCTATCCCCTGCCAAGATGAATTATGATGTTGGGAACAGGGAACTCTTGGCCATTAAGCTTGCCCTGGAGGAGTGGAGACACTGGCTGGAGGGGGCCCTCCATCCCTTTACTATCCTCACTGACCACAAGAACTTGGCCTACCTGCAATCTGCTAAACGCCTCAACTCCCGCTTGGCTAGGTGGTCCCTGTTCTTCTCCAGGTTCCATTTTTTCATTACCTATACTCCAGGCTCCAAGAATGTCAAAGCTGATGCCCTTTCCCGCCTTTACGACCCCACGGACTCCGAAGACCCTCCAGTGCCCATCGTGTCTCCTGACAGGTTTCTCGCAGCTGTGCATTGGGACATCGAAGACAAGGTGAGACGGGCTCTCTGAAACCTCACAGTTCCTCCCCAGTGCCCCCCGGACCTGTTCCAGTTCCTGATTCAGTGCGCTCCGCAGTTCTTCAATGGGGCAATGACTCCCGCTTCGCTGCTTACTCTGGCACCCGTCGTTCCATCGAATTCATCTCCAAGGACTTCTGGTGGCCTTCCCTAAAGTCTGATGTAACAGAATACGTGCGAGCATGCCCCACCTGTGCTAGGAGCAAGACCCCTCGGCAGAAGAGGGCTGGTCTCTTACAACCTCTTTCCATCCCTTCATGGCCTTGGTCTCATCTCTCGATCGACTTTCTGACGGATCTCCCAAAAAGCCACGGTAAAACGACGATCGTGGTGGTCATCGACCATTTCCCTAAAGCTGCGCATTTTGTTCCTCTTCCAGCCCTCCCATCAGCCCGAGAGATGGCAGACCTTTTTGTCCAGCATGTTTTCTGCCTCCATGGCATTCCGAAGGATATTGTTTCTGACAGGGGTCCGCAGTTCATATCAAGATTTTGGAAGGCTTTCTGCCATACCTTAGGGGCATCCTCCTCCCTCACTTCTGGTTACCACCCCGAAGCCAATGGTCAGGCGGAGAGGATTAACCAGGACCTGCTGACTTACCTCAGGTCCTACGTCTCCACTGCCCATGATAACTGGGCTTCCCTTCTCCCCTGGGCTGAATATGCCCACAATTCTCTATATACCTCCTCCACTGATATGTCTCCGTTCCTCTGTTCACTGGGCTATCAACCCTCGCTCTTCCCCGACACTATTCCCGATGCTGATGTCCCTGCTGTTCTGGCATATTTTTCTCCCCTCCCAGAACTCTGGAAGAAGGCCAGGACTGTACTGCTTAAGACCTCTCGGAGACAGAAGACTTCTGCTGATAGACGCCCCTTTCCCCGTCTACGTCAAGGCCAATTAGTCTGGTTGTCATCCAAGAACATTCCACTCCAGCAACCTTCCCGCAAGTTGGGCCCTCGCTTCATTGGGCCTTTCAGAGTACTATCCCGTGTTACCTCTGTTTCTTACCGCCTCATCCTCCTCCCCACCCTCAGGATTCACCCCACCTTCCATGTATCCCTCCTGAAGCCTTACCACAGATCCCTACTTTTTGTTCGTCAACCTCGCCCGCCTCCCCCCCGACTAATGGACGGATCTCCCACCTATACTGTGAATAAGATCTTGGACGCCCAATGGCGTAGAGGTTTCCGCCAGTTTTTGATTGACTGGGAGGGTTATGGTCCAGAGGAACGTTCCTGGGTTTCTGAAGCGGACATACTGGATCAAAATCTAATTCGAGACTTCCTTCGCACCCATCCCACTCCGGCTACCGGGTCGTCAGGAGCCGACTCTGGGGGGGGGTACTGTTACGCACCCTATAACAAACGCTAACGCCGCAAGTAACACGCCAATCACCTTTCTCTCCCGTCCCTATTTTAGTTCTCCTTTTTCCTCTTTTCCCCGGTCACTATTGCGGATTCTCCTCGAGCTCCCTAGTGCGCGTTTTTCTCTTGATTTTCACCGGCTCTGATCTCCTTACTTGCTTCTCATTTCTGATTTCGCCTACTGTTTTGGATTGTAGCTTTCTCGTTGTTCTTCCGTGTTCCGACTTACTCACCTGCTTCCTGGTTTTGACTTCGCCTAGTGTTTTGGATTGTTGCTTCGTCCCTGACTCTCCATGTTCAGACCGTCTTTCCGGCTTCCTGGTTTTCCTTTTGCATGGCGATTTCGGCTTTGTGTCTTTTTCACTCTCCTGAGTCCTGCACAGGATCCACTGACCAGATCAGCCCCATTCTAACAGACTTCAAGTTTTCCTTGAAGTCAAGGTTTCAAATTTCCCTGTACTGTGCTGGAAGGAGTATTTAAGGCTTGTTTGGTCCTCTTGTACAGCCACATAAAGGACTTGGCTTTGAGCTGTGAGTCTGTCAGACTTACTGTATATGTTGGCTGTCTGGGCCACACTGCCATGCCAAGGCCAACCCTCTAACCTGACACTTGATTATCTCAAGTCAGCCTATAACACATTCTTCAAATAAGCAGATTAGTTGAATAATATATTCTTGTTTATAGCGATTCTAACCATCCAGAAATATCCACAAATGTCACAAAATAAAATCTGTTTTTTTTTCTTTGCTGCAAGGTAAGCAAGCTAAGGCAGATGGCAGCAATCTTAGACTTTCTCTAATGATCATTTACAGTTCTGGAGCTCTTCTTTATGATCTTGTTCTGTAGAGTCAGTTTGACTGCAAGACACCTATAGATAAGGTGCTGTTTTATTTATATGCTGTTTTTATTTAATTATATGCTGTTATGTTACCATTTATCAGCTCTGATCTGCCCATTTATTGTATCAAAATGTTAACCCTTTTGAAGTATTTAGTATGTTGTTGCAAGTTGAAGCATTTTTAAATCTCTAAACTGCATTGCATTTTCTGCTAGGATGCTGAATTGCTGTGTATGGTGCAAAATGCTCTGCATCAGCCTTTCACAATGCTCTGGCCAACAGATGAGGTTTTCAATGGTCTTCCTGAGGAAAGGAAAAAATGGCTCTACAGTGAAGATCACAGGGACAAACTAGCAGCATATATCAAAGTGCACATGATCAGGGATGCAAAAGTAAGTGTGTGGAGGATGATAAACTTTATCAGTTTGTTACGGCCCAGAAAATGGAAATTTAACTAGCATTAGATGTTCATTTGTTGTTACTGTGATAGTTAATTTTGTAAAATTCATAAACTGTAACTGGTAACTTCTGAGTCCAGACACAAATTCATTGGGGAATGGGGTGCAGGGATTTAAAAAAATCAGTCCTAATGTGACATTTAGCCTTTAACTGTATCCGTCAATTGGTCAAGATCAGAAATTGAATGCTTAAACAAGTCGCAATCTTTACAGTAATAACAATCCTGCAGTCACTGTACAGAAAGTACCCTGCATTCAACTCTACATGTCTTCAGGGCAGTTTTTTAGGTCAGAACCAAATACACCACATTGTTGTTAGGCTTTAGCAGTGGAGTTGTACGCTTCATTAATTGATACTGTTGTAACAGAAAGAATAAGGTTCTGGATCCTGAGATGAAGTAAAACAGATGAGTTTATTGCATGCAAGGAACAATAAAGCCGAAGTCTTGTTTCCCGCAAGAAACAACAAAACCGAAGTATTGTTCGATGTGCCGGTACAAACTTTTAGGTTATATAGTCCTTGCTTGCTGCTTCAGACGTAATTCGGTGTTATGGTAAGGGGAGGGGGTCATGGTATTTGGCCAGTTAAAATACCCTGGCCAAATGGTCAGTTTAAGATTACGCTCCCAGGGGGTTCCTAGCTCGCATCTGGAATCCTTATCAGTTAACCCCCTTTCCTGCCATAATCCCCTGTTGCTTAGAAGTCTAATTTTCAGGCAGAACTGACTTAAGTTAACCCTTTTTACATCTTGTCTCTTACTTCAATACTCTATTATGCCTTGTTGGAAATACTGATGAAAATGATTAACAGACTTTTGCCAGATACAGAAGTTAAAATCTCCCATGATGAAATTAGGAGTGTCGGGCGATTTTCTCTACCACCATAATTGTATTGGCTTTAGGATGAATGTACTGTAGACCACAGGTACAAAATTGTGAGGAAACGCTCTAGAAAGGTAAAATGGATGCAGTGAGACTGATAAGCGTTTGTGAGACTCGCAAACCCTTTCTCTTATGACCACTGTGTTGCACCAGCATTTGTTGATGTACAAACAGACATCTCTGCCATGTGTCTTACTGGTCTCACAGGTATCTCGGTCCTGGCACACAGGTGCTCCAAAGTCATCAACTTTCATATCAGTATCTGAATTCTGCTCTTTTAGCGATGTATGTTCTCCCTGTATTTGCTTGGGTTTCCTCCCACACTCCAAAATTAATTGGCTTCTGGGAAAACTGGCTCTGGTAGTCATGTTTGTGTCTCTGTATGCCCCCAAACGTACAAATGGGACACCATAGAAAAGGTCTGAATACTTTTAAAGGGTCCACATATCTAAAGATGAGGCATTCTGTATCTCTTAACAGTATAAATGCTAAAGGTTTTAAGATTAGATTTAAAGACTTTTCTATAAATAGAAGCTCACAAATAAGTTTTAAATTGTAAAATAAATGGTCTGTTTTCGAGGTGTGTGAATCAGAGGCGCAGCCAGGATCTGATTTTTGGGTGGGCCTGTGCAAAAGTGGGTGCCCCGGGCTCTTACTAACTGTCCTGCCAGCATAGTGGCACCCCTCCAATTTACAATCCAATCCTCGAGCGCTATAATCAAACATCAGAATTAGCAGAGCCTTATACATTATACAGTATATACATACTGTCTCTCTCTTACACACACACAGGAGCTCATTTTCACTTGTTGCTTGCTTTTAGATTGTTCAGTAGTTTTACGAGTTACTCTGAAATTAATATTTTATTGCAAAACACAATGAACACAACGCAAAATGCAAGATTCAAAATCCGTCCGAAATATTGTATTTAAAATACCATGAAGAGTTTACCTTGCCTTTAAATATTCAGCGGACTTTGCATAACATACCAGAAGAACTATAGGTTTAAGAGGTTGGTGTAAATTCCTCGCCCCAAGGGTAATATCGAGTAAGGCAAAAACAAACTGCAAAGGTATTAATACATTAAGTTCTGAAGATCTTGTTTGATCCTTCATGATGCTTTTAAACTTGTATGAAACCCACGAAATTAGTATTGTAACGCTTACGGCCGACAAGCACTGTGTGTAAGAGCCGGCGTACCAGAGCGGGTGACGTCACCGCCCTTCCCTGTGATAGCAGGACTACAGCTACTGGGCTGTAGAGAGATCTCTCTTTAGCTCACAGGGCTAGGTCGCTGCAGAGAGACGCGGAAGTCCCGGGTTCGAGCCTCCAGTCGGGATGGGGCCGACCAGATGCGGCAAGGGCGCCCGCTTGAGCCCCCGTTGCGTTACAGTATTCTATTTTTGATGCCAAAAGACACCTCATTTGGAAATTCGTGACTTACTTCCCACAAGACTTGACACTTAATTGGTATAGTCGCATTACAGTGCTAACCAATTCATCGTAGCTTTCATTGCAAGAATGATCTGCTAAAAGCGTCAAATACATATTTTGGATGTATTTTAGCTCTGTAAACGTCGTTCACTTAAAAATACTGCAGGGCGTTTAGAGGCGATATGAATAGTTATCTGTAAAATGCACACTCGCATCTATCCGTCAATACTATCTTAATGTTATTTATGCATTCCAAAATATGTAATTTGATTACAGGAAAAATTTTAAAACCTCTTCTTGCTTAACTCCTACAGGTCGAGCATGTATCGAGCTGCTACAAGCAAACGCGCGCACTGCCCCTTGCGTTCCAGAAACACTTGTATTCGGGAAGCAAAACTGTGCTCCTTAAAACCCAAGACGCCTGTAACATCTCATGTTGAAAAACAAAAAGATACACGAGGCAAAAGCAAATCACATACAATGAAAACAAATCAAACAAGAAACATTAAAAAGCAGATCATGTAGCGCCATCAAGGAAAACAAATCTTAAATAACTTTGGACTGATTAGGTAGGCCCCTGATGTGAAGTAACTAGAACTTCACTACAGAACTTAAGTACTCGGGTTCGGCGAGGACGGACACAGTGACTCAGACTTCGTGGAGTGAACACCAGCGCTTTATTTATTTCGGTACATCCAGCCAGCCTGCAGTCCCGCGCACGGCAGCAGGGAGAGAGAGGAAACACACAGAGGTCTATTCGGGTAGTTACACAGGTATAGGGTGTGAATTGGGTACAAGCAAAACAGGGGTGCGAAACCAGGGAACTATTTACGAATCCTCCCGTTAGACAGTGGGTCAGCTTTCCTAGTTCCCGCCCTGACCACTACTACTCTCGTCCTGCCCCTCGCCGTGTACCCCAGCCGGGCGCTCTTCGGCCGTAGCGCCGGGCGAATGCGCTACAGTACATTTTTCAAGATCTGTACTTTACTTAAGTGTTGTTTTTTTTACTTTGACTTTTACTTAAGTACGATGGTTAAGAAAAAATGTACTGCACTACATTTCCCAAAAGCATCTCGTTTCTTGTTACCTTTGGTATACTGACGTATTTTTTTTTAAAAAAAACATAACCATTCAGAAAGCACACCAATACCCGGGAATTAAGTGGTCCAGGTGTAACGTCGTTAATGTGTACCGTAAAACATTGATGTTAAGTGGGAATTATTTCCCAAAAGAAATAATGGGTAGGATTAATAGGGACTGGGAGGACGTAAATATTCCTTTGAGGCTCATGTGCAACATATTTGTAAGAATCAAAGTATTCCTACATTAATAATAAGGACCAGGACATGACAACGGAATGTCACATTTACATTCACATTTTCGAGAATAAACAGAACGCTCTAATGACTAGTTAACTTGAGCGCGTAAATGTAGTTAAACCTTATTTGAAATGTTTTAGAAATGCTCGGAATTTTAAAAATTACCATGGTGTATCACGTACAAAAATTACATGTAATGCACGGGATGGTAAAAGCAATATTAAAATACTTGAATGTTTACGTACATTATAAATTATTTCATTATTCTGCTAAAGTATTACATTGAATTAAATATTGTAAATTTGATTAATAGGGAAATCCTATACAGTTTAGAGTAAAATTAGTTCAGTTTATCCAACAACGTAGTCTGTGTTTCTTGACTGCTCTGTGAATTTTGTGAGGAAGCTTTGTGTTTAGGGGACGTAAAGTCGGAGCACAGAGAAATGCAAGCATTACATATACATCTTAAACACATATAGTAAGAATACATAGCTTTTATCCAATACATAGCAATGATATTAGTAGAAATGTACCGTTTTGTATGGTGCGTTTACATTCAAGTTGGGGAATTAATGTCCACAGACCGTAATAT